GGTCCAACACCTACTACTTATAGGATAGGGATCGAGCTTGCGAATTTTGAAGACAGAGATAGGTGTGAGGAAGGAATTACAGCAGTTATGGGGAAAAAAACTCACTGTCTTATCTCTGTGTTTTTTCCCGTATGCATTTCCAATGTGAGATAATTATATTCTTATGCCATAAGACAGCATGGAGTAGGAAGAGGGAAGGAAATTTTAAATATCTTTAACATTAGAATTTTGCATATAGATTGTGAGGAGAGAAGCCAGTAATATAGTGATGTCAGTGTGATAGAAAAAGTATGTGTTTTCCCTTTATAAAAAACTTCAGTGCATTTTATTCCACCTATGGTTATAGTATGATACCTTGTTGTAACTTTTACTGAAATGAAGCATAGTACAATATTTTTGTGTACCATATATAGTCATCGTATCAAACATATTTATTTACTTTGCTAAATCAAATATCATTTTTTTTCTTTTTTATTTACTTCTATCAGAATTAAGTCAAATCAAACTTTGTTGTTATCTATTTGGGCAGATAGTTTGGACTTGACTACATGCTTTAAGTGAAGGCTTTTAAAACTGGAAGTAATTCAGGCTTTTAGTGCATGTTTAAAGCAGAAGGATTTTCTGTGGAGTTCCAGCAATCTCAACAGCAAGCCAAGGGCAGGCAGTGAGGGGCAAAATCTGTGGAGCTTGTTATACTGTGAAGAGCAGGAGAAGGGAGTGAATTTGCAGAAATACTTAAAATAAATTTTATTCTAGAGAAATAGAAACTAGTTTTCTTGGAATATGAATTTCTTTTGGGGTTATGTCAGCTTCCAGTATGTATAAATGTGAAGTTGTGGTATCCAGAGAGCATAGCTGGGCTAATGATTAAAATGTTTCTTCAGTATTTCTTTAAAAGCTAGATCTAGCATAAGCTGACACATACGTGTGTATATAGTACTGACTTATTTTAAATGAATTTTTTTTTTAAACTGGACTTCATTTTTAGTTCTGCATTAACTTGTATGCAAGAGTTCTTATATGACTGTGTATTGAAAACTATGCAATGAGCTCAGAAATAGAGAAAACCTCTAGTGAAGTAGGGTTAAAACCTCCATTTCTGTGCATTACATCATTAATAAATTGACTATTTGTTCCATTCTCCATTTAAAATCTCAAAAATCTCAAAAACCATTTTGTGGTTTTAAGCATCTTTGCAAGTCTTCTCTTAAAAACTAGTCCCTTTTATAGTAAGTGGCCAAGTCTTTGGTGCTTTTCGTGGCTGAGCAAAATTCCTGATGATGGGCCATGATTCATAATAGCAACAAACTTGAAAAAAAAGTTTATATATACTGTTTCCTCTGGGAGACCATGGTAGGTTACCTGAGGAGAGCTATGCAGTGTTTTATAGTTGAAATCAATGTGTCTTATTCAAAGCAGGTGTTTGGGGACGTTTCTAAAAACCTGCCAGAAAGTGATGTAGTTGGCCACAGGCCAGCATTGTGGCACAGGAGCCAATTTTCATTCTGCTTTCAGACTGGTATAACAAGTACTTACATGAAAAAAATGTTGTGGTTCTGATTCTAGCAATGGCTGTCATAAGATTTCTGTTTAAAAGATGAATGGAATGGAATTTTTACCTCAGCAGCTCTCCAAGTAGCACTGTTAGTGCTACAGGGGCTGCTTTCTTCTAAAATTGGTGCCATTGCCTCACCTGTAATGTATGCAGCCACTTTCCTTCTGCAGCAATTTTCTTTTTGTGCACCAGTTTTCTTTCTCAGTGTCAAAGCCTTGGTTTTGGCATTTGCACGAGCTTCTGCTCAGAGGTCTTGGTCCAAAGCTTTCAGGAGGACTTTTTCCCACTGCTGTAATATCTGAAGGAATCGAGCTTTGAATGCTCAGTGTCATTTGTGTTTAGTGGTATTCAGTGGGAGCAAGGCACTGAACACTCCAGTGGCAGCTGCTTATGACTCACCATCCCACACCCCTGCTCTCAAATGTCTCTGTTCTCTTCTTCAAGGAATCTAACCACCTTTACTGGTACATACCCCTTGTGTTTTTCTTCCATCACAGGTTTATGAGCAGGAAAACTAATAGTTGACCATTTCTTACGGTACCAGTTTCACTGCTAAGAGTTACTAGATAAAAGTCCTGGAGGTAAATCTTTTTTGACCAAAAATGGTAGATAATTCACAGAATATGTAAAGAAGCTACAGTATTTTTTAAGCAGTGTTTAAAGCTTCAAAATAGAGATACAGTGTGTGGCTGTATGTTTGTGTACCAGACCTGGAACCCACACATGTGGAGATCTTTCTTCAAAAGAGCAAACAAAATCCAGTAACACTCTCAAAAAATATATATATATATAATTTCATACACTTGATGAGTAGGATAGATCAAAGGATTAAAGTTTGAATTACAGAGTATCTGCCTTCTGATGGGGGTTATATTTAACAGACAGAGGCATAGCAGAGGCATCAATATATTTCTTTAGGCATTCTGGTGATTAATGGGACAGACGTACTATAAGCTTAGGCCTGTCGTGTTCACTGTCTTCTTGACAGTGATTACTGTGATGGGATTTATTTACCTTTCTTTTGATACTTGGTATGGATTAGTATAGAGCAGTTTGTACATCCAGCCTGGGCATGATAGTCTTCTGTGCATTTTTTTCTATATGCAAAATGTTCACTCCTGAAAAATGGACCAGAACATCAGGTCAAGTCTGGCTGTCAGTCCTCTTATCCACAGCTGCCAAGGAGGGCTGAGTAAAAAAGTCCATCAACCAGCCGAAGATCAGCATCAAGGCGAGGTAGTGACTTAAATGTGGGGTCTGTCCAGGAGGACCAGGGCAGAGCTCAGACTTCCCCTCAGTGTAGCTCAGGCAGGGCTGGTGGCCAGGGCCGAACCTCAGAGGGACCCCCAGATGGGAGCAGGACGTCCATCCAGGGGACAGTCAGAACCACCAGAGCCTGTTCGTGCATTCAGACCCTGACAAGTACGTGTGGATTGCCCTGCACATGCATTCATGCTTGGGAAACCTCTCCTTCAGAAGACGCCCTGTGGAGTTAAACAGTCATCCAATACTTCTGTGCAGAAAATGAACATCATGACTGGTTTTCTAAAGTAGCTGCCAAAGAATATCCTTTACCTCTCATAAAAAACACACTGTAAGACTGTTACAGAACTGTAATGCTTAGCAGAGCAAGAAAGACCTCTCCAGATGTTATTTTCTTCTGCACATATCTATGGTTTTAAGGCACAGATTTACGTATGTTATTTACCAGCCCCTTTCTGAAACTATTAGCAATTGTGTTTCACTGATTCTATTCTGTTTCTTTCCTGCCTCTTAATTCTTTCACACTGTATCACTGATCTCAAATTCTTCTTCCATCTCCATTAATTGCACTTTACCCAAGTAGAGTTAGTGGTTGGAAATTCTCATCCTTGTCCAAATATTTATGATTCCATGAGCTCACAAAATGGATTACACATTACACACTGCTGATAAATGTAATCCCTCACAACAGTCTGATTTCCCCAGGTCTGTCCAGTCATAGTCACTTCAGTGTGAGCCTTGCTCATAGGTAATTTTTGCTCATGTCCCATCAGAGCCTCTAATTGAGGTTTTTGCTTTACTGTTGTCTCACTGAATAAGAAAAAAAATGTGGGCAATTAAATCCACTGGAAAAGAATACATTCTTATTAATCTGGAGAAAAGCATAGTTTTTTCTTGATAATAGATAACTACATTGTTTATTCTTCTGCATTTGGCAAAACTGAATATAATAGAATGCACGGCAGAAGTAATTGGGTAGTCAGTCTTCTTAACACCAGAACAGAATCAGGAAACACTGCAGTGCCTTAGTTGGAATAGTTGGAAAAGGTTCTCACAGTGTTAAAAGCAAATAGTGCAGAGGTCAGTTTCTTTAAAACTGCACTTATTATTTTAGACTAAAGTCTTTCTACATCAGAGACTGACAGAACAGACAGTAAATAAAATTTATGCAGAGAAATTGGAAAGATGGCCTGAAAATATAACAAATGTAATGCACTTGGTACAGATGCAAGCTATGACATTTTTCAGGAATAATCAGCTGCTTAAATACAGGATGGGGTCAAACTGGTCTGTCAGCAGTTCTTCTGAAAAGCTTCTGGAATCTTATAGTAGATTGCAAGGTGAACTTGAGTTCATGGTATTGTATAGAAGATAAGCACCATATACAGACACATGCTGAAGATTGCAGCTTGAAAGGCACATATAAATGCTCTGCTGTCTTCACAGCCTTCACTCTGGCAGTCTGATTGCTTATTGACAGTTATTGCATCAAGTTTCAAAATAAGAAAAAATAGAGAAAATCCAGAGAGAAATAGGAATAAACAGAATCAAGAAGACACAGCTGTTGTGGAATAATTGATCAGATCAGTGTAGTTTTAGCCTAGAGAAGACAGAAATCCCAATATGTGATGTCTATAAACATGTACAAGGCTGAAGCAGATGTAAAAGGAATGATCATCCTTCATGTGATGAAGAGGGCAGTATATAGCAACGTGTAGTGCTAGCCATGCATTTTCAGGATAGATATTTGGAAAATCCTGCTAATTTAAGGTAATGAAGTTAAGGTAATGAAGCACTGGAGTAAATTGCCCAGGGAGGCTGCAAAGTCTCTGTTACAGGAACTCTTCTGAGAAGGAATCATATGGACATCTGTCAGACATGGGAGTGATCTTACCTGAGATTACAAGGATGGCTTAGACCTCTGGAATTTACTGCCTTGTGACTTAGTGATTATAATAAGCAGTGACAGGTCACTTTCTTCAGCTGGACCTGTTAATGCTTCTCTTTCTAGCTAAAGACCATGGAGTTATACTAATTAATTTCCAATTTCAGTTGCCTCCTGTTCCTTTCTTTCCCTCTCAAATGTACTCTCAACAGCAGAGTTAATACCTCTTCTCCCATTTATGAATAAAGTTTATGTGATAATTAATCCACTGAGAGAAATAATAAACTTTTTTTATAGATTTATTTGAAAAGCAGTGACCTCGGAACCTCTGTAAATGAAGTAGAGCAACTGATAAGGAAACATGAGGCTTTTGAGAAGCTTCTGGCATCACAGGATGAGAAGGTACAAAAATCAACAACAAATATTCTACCAGCTCAAGAGCTAGAATTTTATATATATATATATATATATAATTTTTTTTTAACATGCTAACACATTGAATTGCTGACAGGCATGATATGCCTGATATGCTTGAACCAAAGAGAAAATGAGGAAGCCTCAGAGCATTGGAGAACAAGTGTTAAAACATTCCATGCCCAAGGCCTCCCTGTATTGTCTCGCAGCAGATAGGAAAACCACTCAGTGTGCTGAATAGTGGGAGCTACAAGAAATATTTAAAGCAGGCCCTATTGTGTCATGGATATCAGAAGTTTCTGTTTTTTTCATTAAAAAAATAGTGGCTTTTATAGCAAGTAAAATACAGGAGGTCAAATTATTTAAATATGCATTTGGTATACAATGGCTGTGCCAAACTGGCTCACCTCTCCACAACTTGGAATAGATACTGATCTGCTCACCTTCATGTAAATGAATCTGCCTGATAGCCACTGCTCTAACTCACCCAGACTAGGGCTAAACTTAAACCTGGGGCTGTGCCTTGGTTCCTTAGAAGGAATGAACTCCCAGAACTCTTGCCAGCTCCCTGCCAGACAGATTGCTTATTTTGAGAGCTACCTTTCAACACCTGATTTCCACAAAGAAATAAAACTTGAGCACTGGCACTTATGAGTGTCATGCTTGCTCCATGATTCCTTGCACCAGCTGATCAGTGACATAGGGACTCCTGGAGCTACAGCTTCAATTCATTTAAGTAGCCAGGATCCACCACAGAGAGCAATGATAGTAATGTCATAGGTGTAATATAGTACAGGGTGAGGGGGAATGCTGATTAACCTCTCCCTGCTATTCTTGATTTATTACAGAAAAAAGGAAAATCTTTTAGGTATGGAAAGGAGCTTGGATTTTGTTTCTTTCACACCACTTGGAAGCATAAAAGTAATTTCAGATTTGTTGTCTCCTCAGATGATATCTCTTCAAGAACAGGCAAGCAGGCTGGAAAAGGCTGATGGACTGGAAGGGCGAAAGATTCAGCACAAAATGAATGTCATTCATGAGAGGAAGCATCAGATCAAGAATCTATCCCAGAATAGGAGAGAAAAGCTGCAGATTGCTCTTCTTCTGGCACTTTTCTACCAGAACTTGGAAGAGGTAAGAGGGTTTTAGACTGGGATGGGGCTGGAAGGCAGAGCAACTGCCTACTTCTACTGGAGGAAGTGCTCGCTTTGACTGGTCTCTGCAGAATATGTTGGTCTCTGTTTGTCTCCTATTCTGGCCTTAGTCTTGTAACTGAGTAGCTCTGTTCCTGGCAGTACTGTTAGAAAGGCATACTAGGTCAATCTTTCAAAGAGCAGCACAATGTGTGTGACTGAAAATGTGCTAGCATATCTGGTGTACTGGCATAAACAAGAGCACAAAGGCCCAGGCAGACATTTGCAAACACTTGCTGGTTTGGTATCCACCCCTTCTGCTGCTGTATCCCATGGAACATCCTCCATGATTTAAAGAAAAAACTGCAGGTGCTGGTCACCTCCCAGCCCATGAAAAAGACACGTGTCCTGACACAGATCAGGTTAAGATCATCACCAAAAGAGAATGAATGCCTACGCACAGCTGCTGCCAGCAACAAAATTTCTCTTTGTTGTTGTTCTTTTTTTTTGTTTGGTTTTTGTTTGTGTTTGTGTGGTTTGTTTTTGGTTTGCTTTGGTTTTAATTAATTTTGTTTGTTTGTTTGTTTGTTTTTCAAGAAAAAGAATAATCTAAGGCTACTAAAATTCCATTTACAGCACAATGTATTTGGAACTTTCCCCTACCCCAAACAGTCAGACATTTAAATACCCTCTTCTTTGGCCACACTACAAAGCAGAGCTATTCTTCTTTTTTTCTGGTTGTTTTTTCTTTTAGTAAACTTTATCAGAAATTATTTATACACCCAAACACTAACTTGTATTATTTAACTATACTTTTACTATCACATGATGTGAAAGTAATGAAATTCCACCAGTAGTAGCCACCTTTTGGACTAGCAGAGTGGAGTGGAGGGGGTGTTGCCCAGTAATAATATTTTGAAAAGAGCGATATAACTCTGACAGAAAGTTCCCAGAACTGTCAACATCCTCTGTGGTAGAGAAACTGTCAATGCCCTCCTGGAGATATCATCAACCCATTAGGTAGGAATATCTATGCATTTCTCCCCATCTCTCTGTAATGGTCAAATCAGTGCTTGGACTGGGCTCCCCCTTCATTCTTGAATCACATACTTAGAGCAGAGGATCTGGCCCTGCCTAGTGGGGAACATTTTCCTTTTCTCATTCACTTTCTCCACATAAATTCATCCAAGAGAGTTTTTGCTCTCAGGTTATATGGTCATTTACATTGCCGATCATTGCCTACTGCTGTAGAATGTGAATGCCACCAAGGAATTAAAAAGAAAAATAAAAAAAAATCTTATTGCAGTATTTTTCTTTCTCTTTATTGGTAGAACAGCATGTTTAATTTGATTTAATGATGTTCTGGATGTGTACATGTTCACAAATGAGAATTGCCCCCATAGGGAAGTTAAATTCAGAGATGAGTTTTGAGTTTAGCTGTGAAATCAATGAGATCATTGGTTATTCTTACTTATTAAGAGGACAAAATCCATAGCTCAGATCCCACTCTTCTGAAAACTCTCCTTCCTGCAAGAATGTTAAGTAATTTTTATTGATAAAGCATACTTTTTTTGCTTCAGCAGAAATTAGTGATTGCTGTCATCATTAAAAGTCTCCTGGTTACTCTCTAGAAGCACTTACACAGAGAGCTGCACACATTAGTAAAAAGATGATACAGTCTGTGATTACTGATGAGAGGACAGAGAACTCAGCATCATATAATCTGCTTAGAAGGCTAGCTGCTGCAGGACACAGGACTTTGGTTTTTTTCTGTGTAAAACCCACTAATTCAAGAGATTATGCTCAGCTCACAAAATAGGACACACCCTCCTACAGTAGAAATAGGGTGCTTTTTGAGTCCCAAAGAAGTGAGACAGACTTATAGATTACCCTATTGTCACAATGTCTGTAGCCCCGTGCTAATGTGGAAGGCAAATTAGCAGGCTGCTACTTAGAAATGTGTATTTAAATTATTGCAGAGGAAAGATCATAAAGTTGAACGTTTTGACTTCTAAAGCTGGCCCTGAGTTTTTATGCTGATCCTGAAACTTGCTCATCATATCAGTGGCACTTCCTTTCCCTTTCACCCTCTACAAGAGACTAAAAAAACATTTACTTCTTTATCTCAGATGAGCAAGAGAGAGAGTTAGTTGTTGCCTTGATGTCTGGAACAGGCACACTCCTTTATAAGCTCTAAATATTTCTTTTATTAAAAATCAGTGTAATTTACAAAAAGTTTGTGCTCATGAGGTTACAGTAACTGATATTCTGAAAATGTAGCTTTCTAAATTGGTAGTGCCCACACTTTTTATGAGTCCCATAGAAGAAAGACTGGTCTCATGTCTCTACACTGAGCATAACACTTGTCTTACTGTTGTCTTCAATAAAGTGAAAATGCCTGTCCAGACGACCATTAGGTCTTTCCACAGAGAGATCTTAGGACAACAAATCAACTTTGGTTCACATCTGAATGTGGGCATGGGGCCAGGAGAAGGATCTCTCACTCTCTAGAGCCATCTTAAGTAAGCCTTAAAATAAACCAAGCCACTAAGAGTGCAGATGTTCAGTCTGCTGTTAAGCCATTGCTTCTGATTAAAAAATAGAAGAGAAATTGACCTGTAAGTGGCTGTATACAGGGGATTCACTTGTTTCTCATTCTAACTGTAGGCATGAGCCTCTTCTATTCAAATGAAGAGTCACTTCAGTGACATTGAAGAGTTAATGTGTGGCTGGTAATGGGAGAAGGCCATCGAGGAGGGTGTCAGAAATGAAAACAGCAGATGACAATGTGTTCTTCTGGGCAATCTTGACATAAGGTTCCTGTTTGAGTTTCTAACTGTGCTTTGGAAAGAAACAGTTTCTGGAGAGCATGCTGCTCATGAAAGCTCTTTCTGTGTTTATTTATAGAATTTCAGCAGCTGAAACAAAACTTCAAATCATTAATTAACTGAGAAAATCCTCCAGTTGTCAAGCCTTGTGCACATGTAACACACAGTTCCACAAGGACAGCCAAAATGATTTGAAACTAATAAAGCTGCCTTCAATTTGCTGATCTTATGTTGTCAAAACATTACATTACTTCAGTGCTCTGAGGACAACAGAATCAGTTATGTCAAGTTGTCAGTTCTCAGTGTTTTGATAGATAGAAAATATTTCCTTTAGTGTGAAGGTCTAAAGTTCAGCAGATTTTAAAGAAAATTTTGGAAAACTCCCTATCCTGTTATCCATTTTATTCTGCATTCATTTAAATCCCCTAAAAATAATTTCCTAAGAGAAACACATAACCCTTGCATTGTTAGCTCTCACAGATCTCCTGCTTGTTTGAATCTAATACTCCCGACCAGACCATTTTGAAATTTATGAAGTATAAAAGCAAATAGGGTTGTATTTCCCCTCAAATAATCTAATTAGTGCTTGGCCCCATCAATAAGGCTTTATTTACTTTGCATTTTTCATTTAGGTCACACAACATCACTGAGATCAGGAAATGTTAGTGCTGTTTTATAGGTGAGGCACAGAATTCTAAAGAATCTTAACCCACCTTAAAGGTAGGTCAATGACAGAGATGTGAGATGAAACTCAGAGCCCTAAATCCCAAGATTCAGTGGTCATAATCCCATTTTAAATGTCTAACATGTTAAGGCTTAATATCTGCTCAAGGATTCTCTGAATATAATCTAGAAGATTGTGTGATCTCTTTATGGCTTGTGATAAAATCTGAGGCATTCAAGGAATTTTTCATTACTCTTGTGGTCAGATAAAAATTAGTTTCATTCCTACCTGCTTTTATCTCCTATCAAGTAGAATAGTTCAGAAACTGGAGAGCCACTCCAACTGTCAAGCTCCCAGCGCAGTCTGCCTAGCATAGACACTTGCATAGAGTAATGATATGTCCTGGGAGAAGGCCCCAGGATCTCATGTAGTTGTCATGCTAACTTGGATGCCTCACACTGCTGCAGACAGAAGACTGGATCAGTGAACGCATGCAGAAGTTAGAGGATCCTTCCGTACAAGACCCTAGCAATCTGCAGGACAAAATGAAGCTGCTGCAGAAACATCAGGTCTTTGAGGCAGAGATTCTAGCAAATGAAGAAATCATCACAGCTGTTAATAAGGTAACTCTATCACTCTGCTAGTGTTTTTACAGATTATTGCTGCTTATCCAAAGAAGGACAGATAGATGAAATGCTTCTATACCAATTATCCTATTTGTGTGACAAGAACTCAATTGCTATGCCATGGAAATATAATGCTGTTAATTTACAACAGGGAGATATGTGAATTGCTCTATCCGGGGAGCTTCCATCTTTCCTTATAGTCTGAATAGATTTTCTTATAGACCTGAAAATATCACTGACTTCTTCCTTACCTGGGCTGTTTACTCCTACAAAAAGTAAACAGGATTTCATGCCCCATTTGTGAATATTCTTGTTGCAACTGGGTGAATCATATGGCTGAAATGTGCAGTCATCTGTAAAATCTCTCTTGGTGCTCCCACTCCATGAATGTCATTCTTGGCAAGGAAATATTCAAATCCTAGTGTTCTGTGATTCTAGATTCCCTCCAGATGTAAAAGGTTTCCAGCCGAGCTGTATCATTTGGGTGGTTAAAATTTATATTAGTAATCTGTTGTGCAGTCCAGGCTAAGGAAGTGAGAGAATCCTTCTAGAAAGGTCATGTAACATGATAACACCATTAAAAATTAGTGGCAATCTTAATTTCTAATTTCTTTTTCTGAATGTGAAGAAAGGAGAAGCCCTGATATCAAAAGGCCACCCAAAATCAGGAGAGATCCGTCGCGAAGTCCGCTTGCTTCAGGAGCATTGGGAGAAGTTGAAGAGAGCTGTTGCTGCTCGTGGAAAGATGCTGGAGGACAGTCGGGACTTCCTAGAATTTCTCCAGAAGGTGAACCAGGTGGAAGCCTGGATCAGGGAGAAGGTAAATGGATTTTAGTATTTAGCTAACACGCTAAAGACTTGCTATTTAGCAATGAAATTCTCATAAAAGTGTCATCTTCCAGGATATTTTTAGTGGCTTTTGTCTGTAAGAATCATGACACATTCTACAGAAAATATGAAAGGAATGATTCAATAAATTCTAAAAATTTCCTAAAAAAATTCTAAAAATATCTGCCTATACCAGAATCAGTTGGACAGTATTAGCACATGTTCTCATGTAAAATGTTCAAATGAAGAGCTTGTGATTATTGGAGGCCATCTCCTATGTCTCTGTTGAGACAGAGAAACAAAAGCAGACTAGAATGGAAGAGACTTGAAGTACTTGGCAACTGGCTTGCACTCTCATATATCAAATCTGAAAGTTTCTCTTTGTAGGAGTGAAGGAAGAATCACTTTCATTCAGAGGTAGCTTCCATAATCAGTAATAGACTGAAGAGAGAGTTGGGAGTAAGTCTCATAATTATTTAAGGATCAGAAGAGGCTACTTCAGAAGCTGTAGGTCAGTGGTTTACAGGCAAATCACAGAACTTATTGCATCAGCATAAGCATTGGGAGTTGTTGTGTTCTTGTACTCTTAGCCTAAATATTTGTCTGTTTGCTGCTTATTCCCTCAGGAAGTCATGATTAATGTAGGTGATGTGGGAAATGACTATGAACACTGCCTGCAACTCAAGAAAAAGTTGAATGAGTTTCGTGGAGCAACATCAGGGGTAAGAGGTGTTTTCCATGCACGTTTCTTGTGCGGCTGCAAGCAGCAGTTAACTTTTCAGTTCAGGTAGTAAATACAGTTCCAGTACACTGAGAAGGTGAAAGATCAGGGTGAGAGGAAGCATTACAACCTCAAAAGCTGTTAAAAAAGATAAAATTTTCACTCATTGTGCCTTTTGCTTTGAAGATGTCTAAACAGAGCTGTCAGGTGCTCATGACACAACCTAAAATTTTGGACTGTGTTAAATGTCTGGAAAACTTGTGGTGTGAGCCTGAATTTGAGCAGGGTTTTGTTTGGTTTGTGCAGTCTGCAAAGTCACAGTCATTTCCACCCAGAAGTGGTTTTAAACATGGTTGTTTCAGCCATGTTTTTATGAATCTGAAAACTGATATAGATCTTCCATGAACCAAGCCTGTGGGAAAAAAAATACTACTTTCTCTATTTCCATCCTTTATTTCTCCCTTCTTCTCCTCGTGAGGAACAGTCAGGTTTCTCATATTCCTTCATACAAATGAAGCGTGTAAACTTGGGGGCCTTTGTTTATACAGCACATGTGGTTAGTCATGAATCATAACATTAATAATCAGACATTTAGTAAAATAGAGCAATGGTTTACACTTTGAATAGCAGCCATGTGACAAGTTGGCTGCACACTTCACCTTTCTATGCTGAGATCTCTGACTCTTGTGGTGCTGAGGAGTCACGCCAGCTGCCTCTCTTGTCCCCAGTGAATGTACTAACTTGGGCACCAAACCTGGGGAACAGGCCCTGCCACAACAAGGGCCTCCTTGTGATGTGCTTCAGCTCCTGCCATAAGAGTTGTGAGGGATGCTTTTGCAGCAACTTTTTGTTCTCTCTGTGTGAACTGCTATAGTTGTGGACTAACAGGTCTGTGTGTCACACAGGAAAGATTACTGTGCTGATTTGCCAGTCTGGAAATTGTGAGGAAGGTCTGGAAGGAGGTATATTAGGACTTTGTGAGTGAGGTTTACTCTTCTGTTCTCTCCTGATATTCTTTTTCCTTTGTTTGCCTGTTATCTTGTTACCAATTACTGTTACAGCAGATCCCATCTTCTATTTTTGTTGCCTAATAGCAGAAGGAGACAATCCTCATCTATGCAAAGTAGCAGTGTAGATATGCCTGACCCCTGCAAGAAAACCCTGAGCTCCCTGTTCCAGAGACCAGCAGAATTTCGTGACACTACATTAGTGCATTCATATTGGATTTGGATAGAGAGCCAAACTACTCAACTTCAGCTCCAGGGAATTATTGAAGAGACCTTCATTGTGCCTTCAGTACTCACCAGCAGACTTAGGGATTGAGCAAGGGCTCTTCTACAGGTTTTACCAGCAAAAAATAGATGATGAAAAAGGCAGAAACAACCCAGTGTCCCAGTCTGCTTAAGACCCTGAATAGAAAAATCTTTCCATAAACTAAGGTAGATCTTTTGTGCCACAGGAAACTCTTGACCTTAGATATTATCAGCTTGTAGTCACTGCTCCTGTAATACTCTGAACATGACTCCTGCAGAAAAAAAGCTGGGACATTTATGCCCTGATAGCTGATGCTTAGTTATGCAGTACTTCATGGGGTGATACAAGCAGAAACAGGATGTTCCTGGCACAGTGTGTGCATCCATCCAGTCTGTTTTTTCCCACTAGACAAATCTGAGATCAGGGTAGGGAGTAATCATTCTGCTTTGATGGGTGCAAGATTTTCTACTCATTGTGCTGCTATTATTTCTCAGGAGAGAAGACTGCAGGGTTTCTGAAGAATATCTGACTGTCTACTAGTTTCTCCTGTTTACTTTATGGCTGTGTATAATAGTAAAGCATATTCGGAAGCATGCATATTGGTATGGATGCAGCAAACAGAATACTCAGTGGAGCAAATACTTCTATTAAGAGTGTGCTGGCATTTTTTAACTGTGCTTCTATTGCACCAGTCATTGTCTCCCTGCTGAGTCTGTGATTTACTGCTCTTAGAAAAATAGAGAATGTTTTTGAGTCTTGGAGCGGTGCTCAGTGTTGGCTATCCATAACACTCCAAAAGAAAAATTATTCCACTATAGTCCAGATTATGTATGCAATGTACAAATATTACCCATTCCATGGTATGTGCATGGGAAGCAAATTGCCTTGAAGTCTTGGTATACCTTTTAAAATGCAGTGATGTTGCTTTAGAAGAAAACACAATGGAATAGGTCGTCTGGGATTCTTAAGGCTGTATGGATTTTTAAGCCTGTTGTCTACAGTACAGAAGGCACTTCTGGACAGAAGCCTATCTAGATAAAACAGCAAGTAGGCCTAGGAGCCATGAGTCACTGTCTGTTTGACAAAGGATCAGTCTGCCACACAGCAGCTGCTCCACAGCAGCCACCTATGTAACCAGCACCTGCACCTATGTTTCTTCAACAAATGAACCCCTGCTGGAATGTCTGTCTTAGAAACGACTGCCTGAGGGCCCCCATCTAGACCTAGATCATTGTTGTATCTATGGTCATTGATGTTCTTTCTTGCCTTTACTGTCTTCTCATCAGGGACTTAGTAACACCAGCAGTTGTAGTAGAGCAAACCTTATATGTCTGAAATGTTTGGCAGTGAGGTAAAACTATTTCTTTTTGCTGCTGGTGTTGTTTTTCATGTCTCGATGGAAAACTCAATCACAAGCAATTCAAACACATACCTTTGTTTCTTTTCTCGCTTTACAGGAGTCAACAGTTGACGATGCTCACATCAGGACTATCAATGCCCTGGCCATGAAACTGGAGAGACAGAACAAGGAAGAGACAAAGACGATATACGAGCGCCGAAAGCATCTCAATGAGAAGTGAGTATGCTCTTAAATCTTCTGTGTAAAGCAGAAACAAGAAGGAAAAATTAAGTGTCTTTGGCTGGGATAAATGGAGGAATCGGAACATGTTTTCTTCTTTAATACCATGACCACCAAACATCAGAGACTGGAGTTGTCTAATACTCTCAGAGCAGTTAGCTAGAATGATTTTTAATCCAGCAGGGCCAAAGTCATGTTTCTAGCCTTGAAGGCAAACACACATGAATCTACTTGACACAGTAGATTCATGAAGCTAAGACACTTCCATCTATTCACATAGTTGTCCTGGTGAATTGCCTATTGCTTTTGCTGCTTCACAGCCCGCTGTCTAAGAAACAAAAGCATGTGGATTATGAAGTTATTGAGAGTCTAAGGAAACTGGATCAGTACTTTTTAGCTTTTAGCCCCCATGCCATCCTGAAAACCTGGTATAAATATAACCAGATAATCTTCTCACACTAATGCTTTATCTCTGTGATGTGCCCTGTTATGGGGAGTTGGGGATCAATGCATAAGGTAGTTCAGAAATCCTGTCTTTTTGCTTAAATATGAGCATCATGAAACTCAGTTATGGAAATCCTTACCTATGAAATACATCTCTAAAATATTATTTTCAATAAAAGATGGAACAGTTTCCATGGTAACCTGAACGCATACAGGAAGAAATTAGAGGGAGCCCTAGAGATTCATGCCTTAATCAGAGAAATAGATGACATCACAGAAAGAATTACTGAGAAGGTAAGTTTTCAAATTTTGATTGATTGAAATGGAAAAATGTTCTATTTTGCCAATAGCAATAAACCCAGGCATGCTGATTTCGAGAGAGCCGCTGAGTATTCAACAGTGATCTTTGATAGTTGTCTGTGTTTAAAGTGTGTAGGAAGGCTGAAATATCATTAAACAGTGCAGATTAGCAACTCCAAGGCATTCATTATAATGGGTACATTTGAAATGTATTGTGAGAAATCACAGATTAGAGTCTGCAATAAAAGGGGATGCTCTCTTTATATAATGAAAGGTTACAGAGAAGATCAAGTTGAACTCTCCCTGGAAGTTCATAGTGAAAGTCAGTGGGTACAAGTAGCAAAGTGAGAAGTTCAAAATAGGTGTAAAGTGAAAAAAATCACAATGAGAGTGGTCAAACACTGGAACAAGTTACCTGAAGAGACAGTCCTTGGAAAAACTAAAATCTCAGCTAGATCAGACCCTGACCAATCTGTCCTAAGGTGACCCCACTTTGAGCAGAGACAAGACTAGATGATGTTCAGAGGTCCCTTCTAACCAACCTCCTCCATTGACCGACTGACGATGCTTTGCCCGAGGCCCCCCAGGACATGGTTGGCCCTCCTGGCTGCCAGGGCACTGCTGACTCAGATTCAACTTGCCATTGGGTACCTCCAGGTCCCTTTCCACAGCACTGCTTTCCAGCATCTCATTCCCAGTCTGTATGAACATCCAGGGTTGCCCCATCCCAGGTGCAGAATCCAGCACTTCCCCTCATTGAACTTCAAATGTCTGGGATTGCTCAGTCCTCTAATTTGTCGAAGTCTCTCTGCACGGCCTCCCCTGCCTTCAAGGGACTCAACAGCTCCTCACAGTTTTGTGTTGTCTGGAAAATTAATATCCCTTCCCGTCCTGTGTCCAAGTCATTTATGAAGATGTTGAGGAGCATAGGGCCTTAGATGGAGCCCTGTGGAACTCCACTAGTGACAGGGCACCAGTCTGATGTCACCCCATTCACTCTTACCCTCTGTGCTCAACCTGTGAGCCGACTACTCACCCACTGCGTGATGTGTTTATCCAGCTGTGTGGATATTGTGGATAATGTGCTGGACGGATCCAGAAGGATCCTGTGAAAGACAGCATCAAAAGCTTTACTGAAATCCAAAAAGATTACAACAACTGGCTTCCCTTGATCAGCTAGGCGGGTTACCTTGTCATAAGAGGAAATCAGATTTGACAAGCAGGACTTTCCTCTCATGAAGCCATGCTGGCTGTGACCGATGACAGTGTTGTCTTTTGGGTGTTTTCCAGTACCTCCCAGATGAAATAAATTATCCCCCAGCAATGACTCCTTTCCACTAACTGTAAGCAGAATTAGACAAGTCATGAAGTAGTGGCATCCTTACATTTCTAAACATCTCCATGTTGTCTAGTAAATCCTCCCACAATAAACAAACACAGCAAGATGCAGTAAGTAGAGTACATATCTTAGAAACTAAGGGACTGGTGCCTATTTTTTGCTCTGTTACTGGCACAGGTATGCATCTCCTTCAGACAATGCTGAGCCAAGCTGGTTCTGAATACCAAAAGCCAGTTAGCTGAGTTACCATAGAGCTGTTTCTGAATTACCTACTTAGCTTGAATACAACAACTTCTAGTGTAGCAAATGCAAAGCCAGTTCATTCAACACTAGCTTGCATATCTCTCCCTGCTGTGCAATACAGACCTATTAAATATGCAGCTTTGAGAAGTTGCATAAAATCTTATTCATTCAGAAGATTGAAGTAAAAATACCTATCCTGGATCATATATATACTATATATTATTATAGATATTATAATATTATATATTTATTTAATTATGTGTCAGTAGGCAAGTGGTACTACTTAAGGTACCACGAGGCTGTTGGCTCAGAATTTTTATAGCAACTTTTACAAATGTATTTCTTCATTTTATGGGATCTAATTTCTGTTAGGAGCTTGAGAGTAAATTTTCATAATACATATCTGAAAAATTCTGTGCCACAATTTATTGGGAAATATTTTTCTGGTTTGGTATTTGGAAAAAAAAAGGAAAAAGAAAGACTGAGAAATGCAGGGATGCATGCCTGTCTCTGTTTTACATGTGAATGGCCAGAGGCATTTTAAGCAGGATTATGACTGTTCAAAGAGATGTGGATTCTTGTTTCATCTCTGTACGGGAAAGCAGACAATGCCCTCTGTTGATATTTAAAAAGACAATAAGAACATTTAGATGGCAATGCAAAGAAGTGAAGGGAAAGACTCTTTGAAATAATTAAGATATGATCCTTTTGCTTTGTGTAATCTTCACCATTTGCACATCTTACTGCTCCTTCCAGAGTGTACTTATACAAGCACTGGATTATGGAAAAGATGTGGAAAGTGTGGAAAACCTGATTCGAAGACATGAAGAAATGGAGAGAGAAATCAGTGTTATAAAGTCCAAAATGGAGGTAAGAAGTGAGGAAGTACTGTAAAAAATTTCATTTTTGCTTCTTGGGAATATGGTGCAAAAATCATTTGGATTGATTAGTATGAATTTTCTGCAATGCAAATGCAGCATAAATTTCTTCTCAGTAAAATACCATTCTGCTTATTCCTACTTTATCGTATCAATATCATTCTTTCTGATACACCAAATCTAAGAAGAAAAGTCCCTTTTTAACATGTTGTCTGACTCTCTTGCTCTCATTTACAAACCAGATCAGACTATCCTATACCTTTTGGAAAGTATGGAGTCCATCTTTCCCCCAGTTTCTGTACTGAATTGACCAGAATCACAACTCTAGTTCTGCTTAAAACTTAGATATAAAGCCCACGGTGCAGGTAATGTCCTGACACAGACATCAAACACAGAAATCTTAGATTATACTTGCCTGCCTGATCCACTCTGGCTTTCATAAAATGGCCAGTTTGCATCACTTAGGACTTATCTTAACCATTAGATATGGGTCTAAGCTCCTATATAGTTGTATATTTTTAATAAAAAGAAGTATTTTCTGTTGAACTACAGTAGTAGAAATCCTGTGACAGTCTCTCACATTTTTTCACTGTTGACCAGAGTGTTAAGCCCTGTCATATAGAAAATATTTTTGCAAACTTTCTCCAAAGGTGTTGTTCTCAATAGTGAGATTTTAGCAGCATATTTAGAGTTTCTGACTTCAGAGTAAACTTTTCCTTAATACCTTAGCAGTGGTTTGGTATCTGGGTTTACTGCATGTGTATCAATTCTTACATTTGGGTTTGGGTTTGGTTTTTTTGATATGGTACCACAAATACCATGTACAAAGTATAATAACTGTACTTTTTTATGATTAAAACCAGCCTGGCATATTCTCCTTTCTGCCTAATTAGAATTATTCATTTTCATAATTTTGATGGAATTTTGGAAGAAAGTTACCAACTTTAAACCTGAGTTGATGAGTGTTCTCTACTGTTTATCAGCCTGTGTTAAGGAAAACAACATCAACTAGAAGTCTACGCTGAAAATCGTGGTTTGTTGCTGCTGTTAGCTGAGACACATACAAAAAATTGTTGAGCCTTCTGCTGAAAGGCAAATCTGTTTGTTTCTGTCTGTTCCATATTTTCATGGCTTTTGTTACATTTAGTTAGATTTTGTTAGGCTTAGTTAGATTATGTTTGTCCGTATTCTGCAAAACTATTTTTTTCATTGTAAATTACCATTTGTACATGTGAAGCAGTGCACACTTATCTTTCTTCACATGGATGTTTGTTTGCAAATGAATATGTATTGGTTTTTTGCATATAACATCTTCCCTTTGTTTATTTTGTTATCGTAATTTAAGTACCTGCTTTTGAAAATAGGGATCTTAAAATGAACTATTTTTCCTAAAAGGCAAACTCAGGAATGAATATAAGCATTTGGCATAAATTCACCCCACTATAAATCTCTTCCTAGACATTGGAATTGGAATCTTTCCGCCTTTCCACAAGGAATCCATCCATAAATGACAAACTGACTATGAAGCAACAGGAGATGAAAAACAACTGGCTACGACTCCAGGGACAGGCCAAACAAAGGTAAAGACTTAGAGAGTGGTTTGAATATCTCTCAGCAGGAGAAAAGCTTTTCTCTGGGGTCTAAACTCTGCTTGCCAGGGGCCTTTTAAAAGTTTTTAAGGATTCTTTACAAAGTTTACACAGGCGTCTTAGACACCTACACTGGAAAAAGTGTGAGTTGGCACACACAAAATTCCACTGATATGACTTTGGGAAAACTAATACAATTTTTGTGGTTTATCTCATTAAATAATGCCTTATGACTATGAAATTAAATCTATCATAAAGCCTTTGTGAAAGACTTATTTTTGGATAGTTCTAGGCAATATTTTTTTCTCAAATCTTTCCAAAACAAGAAAGGCTTAGGCCCGATCTGTAATCATTGCTGGAAGCAACAGCTATGAAGGCTTTTTTACCTTTCTTGTGCTAATGAACTGATGTAGTAAAAATAGTAAGCATGTTGTCTCCAAGGCAGTGTGCATTTCTTATGATTTTAGTTAACATGAGGACTGCTAGGAACTGTAAGGGAAAGCTTGAATTCATTTCATTTGGCTTCTCCTAAGATACTTTCCTCTGCAAATGGGGAGAGAGAAGCAATTAAATAATTCTATGTTGGATAATGCTGAATTGCACATTGTGTGGCAGGAAGGAGAAGCTGGCAGCTTCATATCAGTTGCAGAAATTCAACTTGGAGATGAAGGAGTTGCTAGACTGGACCCAAAACATCAAAGGGTTAATGGAAGCAGGGGGGCTTCCTAAAAGCGCAAATGAAGCCGAAAGTATGATTGAGGAGCATCAGGAGAGAAAGGCAAGTATCATCATTGCTTCCAATTGAACATACTGCAAATCTTTCTTATTTGCTGCAGATACAGCAGAATTTTGCTGCATGCACCTGTCAGTAACAGGTAAAAAACTTTTCAGTACCAGATTAGAGATAGAAGTCACCTACATATTGACAAAACTGTGTCTCGTGGGCTGTTTGACAGCTTGTGTCTTTGCAGAAAGGCTCAGAAAGCCCCATTAGCTCTCACCTGTACTGCTGTCCAAGCCTGTAGTTAAAAAACAGGTTCAGTATCACACTATGCTTGCTGCTGATCTCTTTATTAAGATTGCCCAAAAAGTCCATGCCAGTCAATTCTGGCTTTGATTTAGTTTTTTTATGCAAACTCCTTTTGCCTGAGAAAAAAATAGAAACAGCAATTTGTTTCACACGGGGCAGTAAATTACCATTGAACAGTGCTATGCATTCAGTTCCAAAACACTTCAATTGCAACACAATATTTTGGTGGCTAATTTGGCTAATATTTTTGGTTTCTTTTCTAAAAGGAGTGATATTCTTGATTAACCTTAGGGGGAAAAAAACCCAATATTTTACTTTTTCCCAAGCATCATAGCTGTCCTTCAGCTACATGTTTTGTTACATTCTCTCTGCAATTATGTTACTTCTTCTAAAAATCGTGTTCTCAGAATCTTGACTGATGTCCAGTGCTTTGTGGATCCCATAATTAGCACAAATAGTTTGTAGATTCTGAATAATTTTCTAAACCTGAATTTAGTACAAAGTACCTGAAATTCCCTCTTTTTTTTTTAGTCTTTAATTTTAACAATGCTTTCTTATATCACAGACTTCACAATGTTTTTGTCACACTAAAAATATCCACTGATGTAGTGTGCTCCAAATTTAAATGGAAGTGAGATCTAAGTCTTTAATATCTGTTAGTAAAGGAGCCCAAATGGCTCTAAGGAGACAGTCACACAGAAAAGGAGGAATCCAGGCAATATGTTCTTATGTTGACTAAACTAAAATTATAGACAACACAAGAAAAATTGAGGGTTTCTTTCATTCAGGTTACTGGCTCAAAATAAAGTCCTTTGGAGAGACTAGAGCTGAACATAAGATGCTGATGTGAAACAAAAAAAACCCATGAAAATACTCTTTTACAGCTGTGTTTTGATTAGGCAAGACCGCAACCCCAAAAATCCCTAAAAGCTGCAGTTCTAATTTCAGAAATTTAATAATACATGCCATAGTGTTTAAGGTAGTTTATGAGTTAATACATGGTATTATTTCAGTGCATGGTTATTTTCATTTTCAAATTGCATGCATTAGAAATTCCACATTCAGTTTGCAGGGGCCATAGTTGTTTTTGCCTCCAGGACTCAGTATATGGACATAACTCATTCCTCAGACTAGGTGCAAAAGTTAAATGTATTTCATTTTAACACCACAAAATAAAGTAAAACTATGTCTTTAATGTAAAAATCTGATGCCAAGTTATATGTCAGGAGGTGAAAAACTCTAGGCACTATCTCTCATAAGAACTACCTTTATGTAGGAAGACTGGAGGTAGATTGTTTCTAATTTAATCCCAATTTTCATTTGTAGGAAAACAGTTGTTCCTAAAGCAATAAAGTAATTCATTTTCTACACTTATTTTCTCTTAGCAATTCTATGCTCTTCCAGTAACATAGCTCAAAGAAAGATGAATGATTTTCCATACAAATATTAGTGCTGGAAAGTTACAGCCCATATTCTTCCCCTTAAGGCTTGTATTCTGAATAACTGGCTTCTCATAAACCCTTGACATCAACTTTAGTAATATATTTTAGGAGGAGATTGAAGCACGAGTGGAAAGATTCAACTCTCTCAGTGACTATGGTAAAGAACTTGCCAATTCTGGTCACTATGCAACCCCTGAGATTCACCAGTCCCTCTCCAGACTACAGCTAGCCTGGTCTGAATTGATCCAAGCATGGAAAGAGCGATATATAAAATTGTTTCAGGCACAAGACTTACAGGTGAGTAAAAAGACATTCAAGAGAGAATGCACGTGCCACTGACAGTTTTCCTTGATAAAAACAGCAAATTTGTGAGATAGTATAACGCTAATAATACCCAGTGTTTAATATATATTTCACTGGTTTTCAGAAGGCATGCTGAGGGCCAAGCACATTCAGTGCTTACAGGGCTTTAAGTTACAATCACAGAAATTTCTGTGAAATATGTGCTCATAAATTTTTCAAAGCCTTTAAAACTTAGCAAAGTGTGCTCAAACTCTCATACAGCTGGAAAAAAACACATACTTAGAATGCAACATCATGACTCTACCAAATTCTATAACCTTCCCAAAAAACATGGAGCCAGACAAGTATTTAAAAAAAAATCTGAAGACAAATTTAGCATTAACAGAATAATTAATTTTTCCCTGGGTGTTTTTTTTTTCCCTAAGAAAAGAACTGTTTTGGCTGTAGTTTCCTAGAAATACTTCCCTGTAATAGTCATCTTACTTAAAAAATTTCTGCTCAAACAGGGATTTTAAAAATGGGAATGTCAAATACTTTAAATAAAAGCTAGGCTACTAGTCCCATCAAAAATCTTCATATATATGAGAACTTAAATCATATGGTATGGGCTGCTTTAATGCTTCTTTATGTATTACATGCTACTTATTTCTGGCTGTGTTACTCACTTTTCGTTGGTCAGTTACTTATGCAGCTTTCTCTACACTGTTAAAAAACAATCTAGAAGTACTTATATTGTATCCTATGTCTTAGACAAAAAAAGAAATAGTCTTATTATTAAGGAGAAAGTCACAATAATAATTGTTACATATGTTTTTTCTAGAATCTAATGCTTATTGCCATCCAGTGCTATGCAGTTAATTTTTTAAATAGCCATGAAAGTTCAGGGGGTTTCAGTGTACTCTGCCGAAATCAGGTTAGTCTCTGTTTTACAGCATTTTTTCATATTTATGGCTGCTTCTTTTTCCCTATACAGAAATTCTATGGCTATGTGGAACAGATTGAGAGTTGGCTCAGCAGCAAAGAAGCTTTCCTAGCTAATGAGGACTCAGGGGTATGTGCTCTGAGAAATTACAATTTTCTCTGCAATCAGTCTGATGGAAAGGGGACTGTGAAGTATGGTAATGTGCTCTGAACCTTCCTGTGGTCTTTCTCCTTACTGCTCTGTCTTGTTGGTGTTTTAGAATCAGATTTCTTTCCTTGATACTTTACACAGGATGGGATTTTCAGCCCCAAGAGTAATGAAACAATCCAACTACTCTGATTATAACAGGAAAGTGAGACTGCATAGAATCGTAGAATGGTTTGGGTTGGAAGGGACCTGAAAGATCATCCAGTTCAAACCACCCTCCCATGGGTGGGGACACCTCCCACTACACCAGGTTGCTCAATGCTCCATTCAGCCCGGCCTTGTCATATCTGACCCAAATACCCTTGCCAGCAGTACACAAGTCATCACGGCTGTCACTGATTACATACCCAGTTTAGCTTTAAATTACCTATCACAGGTAACAGCACCACTGCAATAAGTGATGCATGGGTTGCAAGAGCTGTGCACGATGCCAGATATACGTTCTGATACTTAGCTTATCCTGCATCTTGTGTAGGTGGTGCTACCTAATTAGTTGTCTCTGCAGGAATGACAATGACATCTCAGAGTTCAATGTAGACACAATGGGTACAAATGGTACAAAAACCATAAAATGCTAGTGGCTGGTGTCTGCCTCTGTAATTCTCAGCATAGAGGTATGTATTTACAGTCCTTTCATTACAGTATGAGACTTACAAGGGGTCACCCAATCATATTTAGCTCAGCAATGTACAGAAAATACTCTGTGAGTAACTTCCCATCCAATGACTCATGTAAGCACCCAGAAGTTTGAATTTTTTTCTGAACCATTTGATGCAAACTTTATTGCTTCCTTTAGAATTGTGGGAAAGCAGAGTTTATCACAGTAACAACATTTTGACACCACTGAATCTATAATTAAAAGTCCAGAGGGATGCTGCAAAGAGAACTCTGAGTCATTAAGGTTGGGATTCTCAAACATTACAAGAAGTCAAATTCTGTATTTCTCTCCAGATGAACTGTAATGTCAGACTTTAGTCCTCAAATTCAAATCTGGATCTGAGCTCTTCTAAATTCCATGAGTTGAAACTGAGGCTCTAATTTTAACCTCCTTCTGTGACATATTTGTTCATTTAACTGTGATTTCTGCTTGGCATTCCACATTTGCTTTCAACATAGCATCTGTCTTAAGGTTGATTTATAGTTAGGCTCTGATGTTTTAATTCTTGAGAAGTTATGTGTTCTATGCAGCACAACAATATGCATGAGAAGCTAAGCATCTAGCAGCCAGTTCAGTTTTGACCCTGAAATAATGACCTCAGACCTTGCATAGAACCTTATTTAGGCCCCAAGTGTCATATGCAGTGCCAATACATTTCAAAGAACAATAAATTTTCTTGACAGCTAGCTTGCAAATATGGGGCAAATGCCATTTAGATTGTGGATTATCAGTGCTGTGGATGGAAAAAATCTGACTGAAAGCAGCTACCTTTTGTTGTCTTCTATCCAGGACTCACTGTCTAGTGTGGAGAGCCTACAGCAGAAACATACACAGTTTGAAAAAGCACTGGAAGTTCAGATGGAGAAAATTGATGAAATGGCTTCATTTTCTCAGCAGCTAGCACAGAACAAGCATTATGACTCAGACAACATCACCAACAGATGCCAGGCCATTTTGAGGAGGTGAAGTCAAACCTTTCCCATGTCATCCTTTCTGTGATAAGACCCTCTCCATGCTGATTAATGTCTTTAAATTATTTAAGAGAACTAAAAACTGATTTGCATTTGCTCACCTTTGTTCTTTGCACTGTGGTAGTCCCATATTGACCTGAGCCTAATAATAATTTCATCAGGAGGTGTCCAAAATGCAAAATTAAGTGGAGAGTGAGCAGGATGCAGAAAAAGGCAGATTTCTGTAATTCTGTATTCTGGCCTGGCCTTAGGGACAGTGCTGCAAACAAAAGACTGAGGTCTGCTGTGCCATTAAATAATTCATTATCATTAAATACCATCAAGATAGGTCATTAGCTAGACAACTGCTTTTTCACTGCTCTGCTGGGGTTGATGTTAAAGCCCTGCTCAAATTTCTGATCAGATCTTGCCCTTTCATGTGAACTACTTTATTTCTTGTAGCACATTGCGTATTGTTCATCATAAACAAATGCTGACAGTAAAAGCAGTTGTATTCACTGCTACAGTAGATGAAAAGATATACATAAAAGTTATGAAAAGAGATTAGAGACCCCTTATAATTAAAGTGAACATACAAATTTATTAATATGATCTAATTTGATACAATTTATTATTATCTCAAATCTACATTAACATGAATAAAGTGCTGCAGATCCAAAATTGGTAAAAAGATTAAAGGATGGTGTAGCTTTGGTTTATGCATGACAAATACCATGATGCTTACAGTATTTCCACTTAAGAAACATGCTGAGCTTATGTTCTCTTGAACTCTGAAAGGCAATAATGGTTATTCCTAAAGCCAAATATCATATGTACAGAATTTGTGTGTAGTTTAAACATATCTATCTGCTAGCAATCCTTCCTATCAGTGCACCGATCATCTTCTCTAACAGTTCAGATCAAGGGAGTCTGTATGTTATGGATATTTCCCTCCTAAAGAATGGAGGGTTAGAGCATGTGTGTTCTAGGAGTGAAATTTGGAAACCCTTATCTAATTCACTCTGTGATTTCGACCTCACATATCTGTCTTCATCTCAGAAAAGAGAGACTACTGGAGAATGCTGCTGCTCGCAGACATTTGCTAGAGGAATCCAGGCTTCTGCAGAAGTTCCTGAGGAATTCTTTTGAGGTACAATTACACAGGATTCATGGTATTCTAGTTTCTCAAAACATGCTATGCTGCATAGGTCTGAATCCCTGAATAGATTTACTGTGAGAAAAATCAAGGAACTGAGTCTGGAATGAGATAATATTGGGGAAAATGAGGATAAGAATAAAGGGATATTTTTTCATCTTCCCTCTAGCAATCAGATGAAAGGTCTAATGTACAATGGATGCCAGCAAAATGCAGCTGAAAGCATTAAAAGGGAATGTGCCACCATTTAAAAACCCATGAGAAGATACTGACAATGGGTTAGAAATAGGGAGATCATTGTCTATTCTCCCTCATGCACACAGGTGTCCATGCATTTTCTCACTGCATGGAGCCTATCTGATGGAGACAGCCCCCTTTCCAGGTAACAGTGCTCATAAGCAGACATAGAGAGGTGACTTTATGAAGGACAGGAGGAGCTTAGGGAAGCAGAACCTCAGAAGGACAACTCACTTGGGTCCCCACTCTCTGGTTCCCTGTTTTATACATATAAGAGGAGAGACTGACAGGCTGGACCTGAAGAAACACTGAAGGTTTTGGTTACTTCTGTTCTTTCCTCGCCAAAGGTGGCTGCCTGGATTAATGAGAAGAATAGCATTGCCCAGGATGATAGCTGGAAGGATCCAAGCAATCTGCAGACCAAACTGCAGAAACACCAGACTTTCCAAGCAGAGATCATGGCCAATAAGAATCATCTGGACTCCATCAAATCTGTGAGAGAAGCGGGGTTGATGGCAGGGGTGGGCAATTGGGATGAAAGACTCTGCAGACAGAGTTACAGTGATCTCAAACAAGTGAGGGGGAATCACTGTCTCATCACTGACGTTATTCATGTTCTTTCTGAGGGGATGAGGAAGCTTATTATTTTAGTCCATCAAGAATTTTCTGTGTCCGTCAGTTTCTTCCCACTCTCTCTTATTATCCAGTGTTAGCTTGCTATCTATATTCACCATGGATGCAAAGGAAACAGACAAGTGCCTTCAATAAAAGATTCATTCCACTGACTTTAGGAACATCTCTCTGGGGTGGATGCCCCATTAGATGTATACTTGTTTCTCTCTAGTGGAGAACCTAGCTGATTGGGTGCACAACCTTTAACAGGTATCCAACAAAAAGGATAAAGAAGATTTTTCAAGTGCTTCCTTTGCAGATACATGTTAGTAGGCGAGATATGAAGGAAGCCTGACAAGCTTTGTCAGATACTTGGCAGAAGCTGTGATCAGATGATAAGTTTGGAAGGACAGACTGTTACATGTTTATTAACTTTATTTTCAGCACAGTGCTTACTAACTGTATTTTGCAATATATTACTAATCACTAGATTTCCTCCTCCAGATTCACCTGTAATCACTATCTTAGCAAAACCTTTTGTTTTTCTTCTCTTCTCTTCTCTTCTCTTCTCTTCTCTTCTCTTCTCTTCTCTTCTCTTCTCTTCATTTTCCTTTCCCTTCCCTTCCCTTCCCTTCCCTTCCCTTCCCTTCCCTTCCCTTTCTTGTTTGTACAATCTCTTCTGCATTATTTCTTTATGCCCTGCCTTTTTCATTGGAAATAGCCTTATTAGTTGCTCTTTAGAACATCTACTGGCCTGCTATAGCAACTTTCTTTAGCTGTACATCTTGCTTACCTTGCCATGCATTCTCTGCCCAGGTTTCAGTAACCCTTTTGCCGTTATTAGTTTTTTCTCTGTCTCTGTAGCCTCTCTGTGCTAGGTGAGGAAACGGCAATTGCAGTTGGCCCTTTACATAGCTGTGACAGCAGGCTTTGTTTATGGAGGCAAAAGTGATATATTCTGCTGCATTCAACAAAGGAAGAAAACTTTGCCTGTTCCCTGTGCTATAGGAGGGGGAGAAGATGCTCTATGAAAGGCACCATGCCTCAGAAGCCATTCAGTCCAGACTACAAGAAATGGATGAGCTATGGGAGGAACTGCTAGCAAGTTGCCAGGAGAAATGGACCAAACTGCAGGATGCTTACAAGGTAATACAACATGCCAGTGGATCTTGTTGTCATTTCCAGAGATAGCACAGCTGCCTTGCTACATGTCTCATCTACAAGTGTGTCACTTGATACAATCAAACTTGATTCCTCAAGACCGTTAGTGCAAAGAAACTAAAAAATGTAGACTGGCTGAATGGAATTAGCAGGAGAACTGGACATTCCTATGGAGGGAAAAGGATCTGTAGGCTAGGCTCCCTTCTGCTTTCTGCTGCTGGTTTAGATCCAGATTCCAGAGAGGGATGTTGAGGAAAAATATGTTTACTAATATGTGTCAGCTCTCTTCATCTGTCACAAGGGCATCTTTTCTCTAGTACATTGAGAAAGAAACCCACAGCTGCTTTTCATTCTTCCAGCTCTAGGCGCGTGAATTCTCGTGACTGGGAGTTCTGCATGGGCTCTCAGACAATCTTTGTTTAGAAAACAGAGCTCTCCCTTTAAATGGCTTCCTTTTAAGGTACTGTGTCCATGATCTGCATTTATGCAACACAAGTGAGATGAAATCTTGATGTTTTCGGCACCTGTTGTTGTCTTCACCGTGACTGAATTCTCTTCTTCATTTCAACAACCATCATATCTGGGAAGAGTTCACTGAACACTGGGAAGTCACTCAATGTTTGTGTGTAATTCTTACTGAAAGTGATGAAGATTTTTACATCACATTATATGTCCTAAACGTTTAAATATCTTTTCTTTTTGCTTGTTCTCAGGGTCTTCATTTTCAGCGAAGTGTAGAGGACACAGAGAAATGGTTGGAAGGTGTGGAAAATGAGCTGAAAGCACCATACAATAGCAGTGATCTGGTGGTTTTGAACAGTCATCTGAAGAAACAAGAGGAATTGGAGGAACATATTGCTGGCCACAGGGACCAGCTGCAAGAGCTTGTGGTCACAGCTCAGCAATTCCAGAAGGAGAAACACTTTCTTGCTGATGAACTAGAAGAGAGAGTAGATCAACTGGTGCAGAGGTGTGTAACTACCTGACCTGTCTCCTGCCATCTTTTTCCTACTTTTGTCAACCTTTTTCTTCCCTGAATATTCTTTTTTCTTTCCTTCTCTACACCATTCTGAACCAATCTGCGGTCCTCACTGGATTATCTTTAAAACCTACAGATACAAAAGATTACGTGATCCTCTGCAGGAGAGACGCGGGAATCTGGAGGCAAGCAGACTTCAGTACCAATTCTTCCGAGATGTTGATGAGGAGTTGGCTTGGGTTCATGAGAAGCTCCCCCTGGCTTCCTCCAGGGATTATGGCCAATCCCTGGCAACTGTTCAGAGTCTACAAGAAAAGCACCAGGTAATGTCATATGAGAACTATTCACAGTCTTTAGAATCAAATGGAGAACACTGAACTCAATTTGTCTGTTTCAAACTTTATCTGCTATGCTTTGGCTAACAAGAGTCATGATGCCTCTTCTCCCTTTCACTTTTGATGGATATGTCCATGGCTTGGCAACGTGTGAGATTCCATCCTGCTTATCATTGCAGTGGTTCAAGTACCACACCGTATGCTTTTCTGTGGATACATTGGCTCTTTCTATGAACTGAGTTAAAAACCTGACCTTTTCAATACAAAATAGATTTTACAAACTTTTGTGTGCTTTCATAGGTTCTTTGGGCAACAGATGTCCTAACAAAATGCTTTGAAACTCAGTAAGTACATCCAAGAAAGCTCATTGCTCAGATGTCTTAGGATGTTCTCCCAGGAAAACATTTTTCCCCCAAACTTTTTCTGCTCTGAAGGAAGGGAGATAGCAGGGAATTATTACAAAACCCTAGACGACCTTCATTCCAGTGGTAGCTTTCAAAACAGCTGCTGAATTATTTCATGAGGTTCAGACAGGCCGTCAGAGAAAGCAGCATCTGGAATACTGTCATCTCAAATACCAATAAAACAACAGCTGCCTTCCTGATAATTTTTTAATAAGGAGCACAGTCTCTTTGCAAACACGAGGTGGAAGAAAAAATATTCCCACTAAAAGTTTCCAGCAGCTGTTGGTATTTAATGTTAGCAAATGACAGCACATTTAAGTGCCACAGCAAGTACCTCTGGGGAAAAATCTGTTCAACCTGCTTTAGGATTGGGAAAGACAGAAATCATAAAAATTTTGAATGTAGTGATATATATACAGTGAGAGAGAAATCCCAAGCATTTGATACAATCATTACCAACCAGCACTAATAAAAAGCTTGTTTCATCCAGATTAAAAGTATAAATGTTGTTATGTGTGCAATTACTCCTAAAAATTGTGGTTGACATGGTAGGAAGATAATTAGATTCACAGAAGAAAAGAATGTTTGAGCTGAATTAATCTGAGAAAGTATTTCAAATAACTGAAGGAGCAGTTAGGCTGCTTTAGGCTGCAATTATCTTAATTTTAATTAGCTAAGTCTCAAAAATTGTTCAATGAACTGTGAGAATGGGAGATATAGACCAGATTATCAGTACATAATAAAGTGCCAATTTTCCTGCCATCTTACTTCTTATTTTTCTGGCAACAGGACTAAAATATAAGTTTGAATTCTCAATGTGTTAGTAGCTAGAGCCTCTACACCTTGTTTTAATGTTGATTTACAAGCTAGCAAATGTCAGAGGTAACATAACAGTCAAGAATTTAACAGTCAAGAGTTGAATATACTATTAGTTCCACCCTCTACTGTTCAACCTAATGAGTCAGATTTGAAAAACTTGAGTTTTTACCACAAAAGAGATTGTGCATGAAATGCATTACCAAAGGGAAAAAAAAACCCCACACTGTCTTGCAAAACAGCATTTACACACAAATATAATATGAGTACAAGCAACTGCTTGGCTTGGAGCAGATATGGTGTCAGTTTTCAACAGCATAGTGACCGTCTTGAAATTAATAGGTGGAAGTTAAAGGCAAGATTAGAATCAGAGCTCTTTTCCAGCCAAGCTGAGCTTGACACTTAAGTTGAGAAAGCGGGTCCTCTCCTCATAGAAGACATCTTTTCTACATTAACACAGCACTGCAGTCTAACTCTGAAGCTACTGTTTCATAGCTATGAAATTAAACAGAACACTTGTAAAATTGTGGGGTTTGTGCTCAAGGTGCTCAGGCATAGTCAGCCAAGGAATGCACATATGCTTGCAGACAAATCACAGCATGGTCCTTGTCTACCCAGGCAAATATCATATGAGAGGCTATACAGAGGTATGCATATAGTTTTTAAATCTACCAGTCTTCAAAAATTAATTTCAAGGAAAGTCTTTCAGAATTGGTTCAGATAGTTTTCTTCTCTCCTTGTCCTGTTAGCTGCCTGATAGTATATGTACCCACAGCATTTGCAATGTCTGTTATGCTTTTCTACAAAGTCATCGGCACGTGATAAAAACTAATGAGCGGGCAAATTGGTTGTTCTTACCTAGGTACACCACTCAAGAAACACCATGTAATGGAGTGAAAGTGAGTATATTTCAGTGGAATTTACAGATAAGAGGTTTGTGCTTACAACCTCTTCCCTCCAGACTCTGAGGTGGATACACAACAAAGTTCCATGGCTAAATTTGATTTCTATAATTATGCCTTCACCCCAAAAAGCTCCTCCACTCCACTAAGAGCATGCACTTGGACTTTGTACTTATCTTCATGAATAGGAAGCAAATTCATAATTACATGACTAGGTTTTCTGGAATAAAAATCTCCATAACTTTTATTTTTGATATGTCACTTTACCCTTACTCTTTCCAGAATTTGGAGAATGAGATAAACAGTCGGGATGCTTTGACCAAAGCAGTGCTCAGTACAGGACAGAAACTGGTAAGGGGAGGCCACTCAGCCTCCCTCAAGATTATGCAGCATTTGAAGGAACTTGAGACTTCTGTAGAAAACTTGAAGGCAGAGGCTCAAGCGAGGAGACTGAGGCTCATGCAGTCATATGAGGCCCATCTGTTCCTAAATGAGGTAAAAATGTTTCCTGAGAGATTTATTTTGGTCATTCTTTGCTTAAAAGAATCTGAAATTTTTGAATGGATGTAAGAGCTGAGAGAGGAACAGAATTCATACTCTCCCAATTTTTCATATCTAGTAAATATGGGTATAGTGGAGAAATAACAATTACCTTTCAACTAACTGCAGTGAGTAACATGTAACTGCAGTTGCTGGGTTCTGGGTACATATTTTTTTGAAGTGTCTGCTAGACTGCATTACAGGAAGAAACCTAAGCTACTCTCTGATTTCACTGATAGATCAGTGCACCACTGCTTTCCAGTTTTCTTTATCTTGACCTAAACCAAGCTATGTTAAGGCCCATCCCTGTATTTTATACAGCTACTGGAGGTGGAGGCATGGCTGGCAGAGAGGAGTTTCATTCTGGATACCTTGGATTATGGGAAGAATGAAGAATCCACGCAAGTCTTACTTCGTAAACTTGAAGCTACCAAACTGGACATGGATAGTTTCAGGTCCCGGATCGAGAAAGTACAGGAGACAGGTGCCATCTTAATAAACAAAGACAGTCCAGAGAGGTAGGAAAGTGAGAACAGGCTTCTTCTCCAGGTCTAACAGAAATGCCTAGAGAAGGCAAATATGGAAAACTATGATGGCTCCTTCAGAAATAAGACTTCAGGGGACATCCAACCCTCCTTCATCACCATCAGACACACTGAGCTCCCCAAAAGCTTGATGATTGTTTTAATGTTTTCATGACTGTTTTTTCCCACTGTGCTTTGGAAAGGAAATGAATATTCTTGACAGTTCACTTTTTTTATTCCAAGTTTGTGTTTATATCTGGGGGAAAGGAAGTGTAAAGAGCAGCCATTTATATGATATACTTTAATTTTTTGAACTAGCTGGCTTTAATGGCACAGCATAACTCACTCCATGACGTTTTCTTGTTTATTCTGTATTTTAAAGGCATTGCAAATCCAACATGTCAGAAAAGACAATGTTCAAAAAGAAAAATAAAACAAAGACATACCTTCTGATTCTTGTTCTTTGCAGCTCAGTCATATTTTCAAAGCTCCAGGGGATCCTAGCAGACTACCAGTCTCTCCTACAGAAGTCTGAGACCCAGAGAAAACGCCTACAAGAACAATTCCAGCTCTATCAGTTTGAAAGAGAATTCCAGCTGGTGGATGCATGGCTTTCCAGTAAACAGACTGTAGCAGAGTCTGATGACTATGGGCAGGACTTAGATGATGTTGAGGTAAAAGAAAATAAAAGGTATTGCATGTGTTGTGTGGCAAAGCAGGAATATATTTCCTGCAATGTTTGAGCAGCTGCTGACAGTGAAGCGTGTTATGTCTGCAAAAACTAAGCAAACCAGTTGTCTCTGCAGCAGGAGCTGACTGGCTTCTGTCTGGTTATATAGGGCTCTCTGAGGTAGCATCCTCCAACAGAAAAAGAAAGTGTATCAGAAAGTTAGCTTTTCTTGGGATAAGGTGAGGTCAGTACTCTTCACTGCTTACCCTGATTATAAATTTGACAGGACCTAAAAAATCTGGCTATGGGCCATGCTCTTGTAACAAATTCTATAGAAAATACTTGGATGCAGCATTCACACCTCTACCTGCCAATTTCAAGGACAAATTCCTCCTTGGGACACACAGTGCAGAGAGGTATAAGTCATAGTATCCACTCCTCAACAACTGCTGCATATGTAGAAAAGTTATGTTCACTAGCTTTTGATCTGAGCAGCTTCTGCTTGTCAGAATGTGGGTGATTTTTCCTTGTGACATAGGATGTTAAATGATCAAGACAATAGATGCCTTCTTCTGACTCCAGATCATTTGTCAAGTGATTTGCACTTGTAGATTGCAATACATAGCTTTTGTGTTATACAGAACAGAGAAAGTGATTCCTTCTGTCTCTCTCATAGGGGTAGGCAGAAATTCTTATATCTAATTCTGTGTCCCCATTTATTCTGCAGGTGCTGGAGAAAAAGTTTAAAGATTTTGTAAATGAGGTGAAACCTCTGGGACATTCTAAAGTTGTCTCCTTAAATGAATTAACATCTAAACTCTATAAGGAAGGCCATAGCAAGATGGACATTATTGAGACAAGAACAAAGCAAATCAATGAAACCTGGGAGAAACTATGCCATGCCATTCAGATGAGGACAGAGGTAGGAAACACATGAAAAACTGGGTTACTGATTTCCTTGCAGTCTCCCATATCCTTCTTTCTTTTCCAAACCAGTGCATTGCTCATGTTGAAACACAAGGTTTATAAGAGAAATGAGTGCATTTTGTTCAATTCTTTCTTGATTCATTTCCCTTTATAGCCCCTGCTTACCCTACTGTTTCTGGCAAGGCTTATACTTGAAAGATATTTATCAGCCTCAAGTAATTGTTTTTTTTTAATTCACTGCTAACTCTGGTTTCCTGAAAAACAAAGCCACCACTAACAGGAGTCCAGCTCTGACACTTATTGGTCTCTTTATTGAACTACTTATTAAACAGCTTGTTAAACAAGATTGAAAGTCTCCAGGTTTTTTTGCTGAGTTAGCTACTTGAAGTCGAAGAAGGCATATGGGAGAGATTGTGATAGAGGACACAAAGTCAAAGCCCATACCTTTTGGCAGCAGTTAGCGGTTAAATCAGCTCACTCTCTCTCAGGAAACTGCAGTCACAGATGTGTTTGAAAAAGCAGAGACGATACCTAGAACTCAACATTTTTGTTTGTTTTAAGGAGAACATAAAATATCAGATGTCCTCAACTCTTTTTTTCTACTACTCTTGCATACGCGTTTTGCTTATAAGGTGGCTCAAGCCCACTATTGTCTGTTAGCAGAAATAAATGTATGACAATTGTTAATATATAGTTTGACCATAAAATAGTATTAGAACATTTTTTAATCTTCTAATTTCAGAAAAATACGAATTTTAGTTAACACCTCTTACTTTCACAGTTTGCAGTGTAGACCTTTATCCAAGCAAGCTTTTTAGGACATTTTCTGTGGTATAAAGACCTACCTTTAGAGGACAATTCATGTTCTCCATTTTGATCATTCTTCTTATGTAGGGATAAATTGCTCTTTGGAGACATCCACTTCTTTCCACTGTCCTAGGGAGCTTGGGGAAATGAGGTTAGCTTAACATCTTGCTTTCAGATGACTTAATTGGGAAGGTGTTTCAGGCCCATTCTTGTTCAGTTTCTACTGCATTATGACATATTAGGGTTACCTTTTTTTGTGTTGTAGACATGCTGTACATTATTACCATTAAATTGCTTCTTTATTGCAGAATCTAAGAGCAGCATGTCAAGTTCACCAGTACGATCATGATGTGGATGAAGTAAAGGGCTGGATGCAGGAGAAAGAGGCAGTGGTGGATATAGAAGATTATGGGTATGATCTTCCAGGTGTACAGACACTTCTCAGTCATCTTGAGGGAGTAGAGGTAAGGGGATTTGTCAGGAAGCAGTGGCAGAAAAGCATAGATGGCAAAATAAAAAAAGCTTGATTTTAAATCCTTTCAAGGGCCTTGCTTGCAGGCTAACAAAAGATAAATTTATTGCACCCTTAAATATTCTTTGTGCTTCACAGAAGAGGGCCTTTTCCTCCTGTTTTTAAGATTATGATATTATATTAATAAAGTTTTTGCTCCTAAGGATGAGCTTCTCTTATAAAATCTATTCAAAATTGTTATTATAATTGCAAAGGTGTCATCTGAACTATCAGAGACTACAGCTCCACACCTACCAAAATAATCAGTGTGTTACATCTAAAGAAGTTTCTTTTATGTTTGATGATGGATATTAAAAGACATTGAAAGAAAACTGAGAGAAAAAGTCTTGACAGATTCATATTTCCAGCCCCTGTACAGCCAGTGGGTAGAAAAGATATGCATCATCTTTAAAATCTACTTTTGATAGATCTAAGTAGGGACTTGGTCTTACAATCCATTCTGTCTCTGTTCCAGAGAGATCTAGGAGTCATCATGAAAGAGCTGGAACGGATTCGAGGAGAGGCTTGGCACCTCAGCCGCACATACCCTGAAGTTAAGGAAAATATCATGGAGAGACTCACAGATGTGGATGAGTCCTGGGAAAAACTGGACAAAAAATTTCTGGAGAGGAAGGCAAGACTGAGTCAGGCAGAACAAGTCCAGCTCTACTTCAATGCCTGCAGGGAGCTGATGTATGTGTTGGCCCATGGAGCTTGACAGTGGGCCCTATTTCTTGTTTTTTCTATATAGAATTTTTAAAATTCCACCTGTTAGGTTTTTGACCCCTGTCCCAGGGGCTCTGCAGCTTGCTTTCAAGTCTCTCTCATGGCATCTTCTCAACAGCACTTCACAGAATTTACCACATATCAGAGGTGACCGTAGCACTTCAGCACAGAGGGCATGACAAAGCCACTTTTTTAGACTATATTTTTAGACCATTTCCTAAGAAGTCTTGGAGAATTCAGTCACTCTGGATAGATTTGGTAGTTTCACAATTCCAAGTGAAAATATTGTTGATTCTATAGGAAGGTGGGATATCTCTGGCTAGATAATGAAGTAATTTGTACACCTGCACAGCTACCAGTGCCCCTTTTTCTCCAAGTAAAAGCAACTACATTAAAGATAATCTTCTAAAATAGGTTAGCACTTGCTCAAGTGCTGAAAGCATGTATTTAATGGCATTCCCCAACACTCTTCTGTCCATTATTATTAGGGATCATTTTTTGCAAGAATTCAATGGCTGGGAAATTCCTTTATTTTTTTTTTGTTTTTTAAATCAGTATTAGAACAAAATGCTGAAGGTTTAAAGCATCTACAAATGTTTTAAAAAATGCATTTTGAGCTAAATCTCTTTTTTTTTTAAATCAATCATGCCAAAGTATCTATAAGCAGAGGTCTAACATAAAAATTGAAATAGCTCATGGAAATATGCTAAAGTGCCAGACCAATCTTAAAATATTATATTTCATCATTTTAATGTCATCTTCATCAACATTTATACATTTTTAATGCAAATTGTGGTTTAAAAGCAGGATTTCCATAGAAGTAATGTGGACATTTTTAGATCAGTGTAGATAATGAAAAAGTTAATCTATGAAATGAGTAGAAATATAAAGAGAGTGGTTACTACTGACTATTGGATATTAACTATGCTAAGGGATAGATCCTGAGCTCAGATAAATCAAGATGCATTGGTTTATGCCAGTTGAGACTCATGGAGTAGAAAATTTTCCTTAAAATCTATCAATATGCTTCTTTGCAGGGGTGCTCTATATGCATATGAAGTACTTTCATGTATGATGATAAGGTTTTGAAGGATATCTGAAAGTCTCTGTGTTCCTTTACAATGTATAAAAGTACTGTTAATGTGTATAACCTAGGCATTTGCAGTTAGTTTTTTTCTGAGGATTTGAATTCGCAGTGCTTCAGTATGTATAGATGCTGTAGCTGTCTTTCTAGTAGATTACCTATGGAAACAGCACTGGAAATATTATATCAGGTTATAAAAATCCATAGATATTTGAGTCAACTTTCATCAGTGTATTTGTATATTGTTACAGTTTAGCCCAAGTCAGCGGCTAAGTACCACATAGCCACTCACTTACTCCTCCAGGCATCCAGTGGGATGGGGAGGAGGATCAGAAATAAAAAAACAGGCAAACAACAAAAAACAACTTGTGTTAAGAACAGTTTAATAATTGAAATAAAGTAAAATATAATAATATTAATGATGATAATACTAATTATGAAGATAATAATCATAATTTTAGAAAAAGAAGAAAATACCCCCCCAAAAAAAAAAACTATTGATGCACAATAAAATTGTTCACCTCACTGATTGGTACCCAGCCTGTCCCCAAGCAGCAAATGGCCCCTTCTGACCAACTCCCCCTAGTTTATACACTGGGCATGGTGTTCTGTGATACAGAATATCCCTTTGGCCAGTTCAGGTCAGCTTTCTTGGCTATGTTTCCCCTCCTGCCCAGCTTCTTGTGCACTTCCTCACTGGCAGAGCATGGGGAACTGACTTAGAGTAAGCACTACCCAGCAACAACCAAACCATCAGTGTGATATCAACATTATTCTCATACTAAATCAAAATCACAGCACTGTACCAGTTACTAAGAGTTACTAAAATTAACTCTATGTCAGCCAAAATCAGGACAGTATTAATATCTTTTGTGAGGAAACAAAAGTCTGTATAGATGCATCCACAGCCATAGTATGTTTGTGTGCATTCCCAAATATCCAACAGACTCGGATTCCTTCCCTTTTTACCCTTTGGCTCTGTTCTATAGGACCTGGGCCAATGAGATGCATGCACTAGTGATATCTGAGGAACTGGCAAATGATGTCCTGGGAGCTGAACTGCTTATCAAGCGTCATGAGGAATACAAGCGTGAGATAGAGAAGCAGTGGCTAAAATATGAAGAAATGCAGCGGGCAGGAGGTGACCTGGTGAAGAATGCACATTTCATGTCTGTGGAGGTGTGTTGATCAGCTAAATATTTTACAAACAAGAGTGAACAATGACATAAAAGGGACAGAAGTTGCAGCTTTGTTTCAGAGCAGAACTTAACAGGACAATCCGATTCTTAACTGTTAAAAGCTACACACCCTGTGTCACACACAGAAAAAGAAAACACATTTTAAAGTTCTTATGACACATCACAACGCAATCCCCCGTAGGATGGACTGATGTCCCTGCATACATCAGAAGATACATAATTCTTCAGAAATGTTCAAAGGAACAAGAATGTTAACCTTTCTATGATCCTATTATCTATGTATGTTTAGACTTTGCCCAAGCTTGTCTTGACACTCTCTGTAAATCACACCACCAAAAACATCTTCAGAATTTATGCAGGATTACATCATTTCTGTTGCAGAAAGAACAAGAGAACTTTCTGCAGTTTAAGTCTCTCCATTGTTGCCTTGCCATAAATAGATGTATTTGTTGAATCTTCCCTTCTCACTAGTTCTATAATACAAGTTGCCAGTTTCATCTTGGGAAATCATATGGCAGAATATTGGTCATACAGTATGTGGAATATGCATAAAATTCTAACATCTAGCTATACAGTGTACAGGCTAAATGAATTCAAGTAAGAAAAATGAGAACTCAGACATCCTTTCTAAACTATGCTAACACCACAAAGTTATCTAGAGATCATCTTCCAAATCATGAAGGCTAAATCATTACGTGCTAGTTGGGTGTCCTGTGAAAATCTGATTGGATTTTTCACCTCTTGGCATTGCAAATGTTATTTTTCTAGATTGAAGAAAAACTGTTAGAGCTGTCAGAGCTGATGAAGAAGGTAAAGGAGAGCTGGGACATGAGGAAAGTGTTATATGAAGAAAACTGGGAGATTCAATTGCTCCGCAGAGAGCTAGAACAAGCAGAAGCATGGCTGACTGCCAAGGAGAGCTTTCTTTCAGATCCTAACTATGGAGTGAGTAACAACAGTGCAACACTACTGAAACACTATTGAATGATCTATGCCTCAGCATATACAGAGAGCTTGGCACGTGTACCAGCTCAGGCCTGAAATTAATCACAGTCGAAACAGTAATGCACCCTTGAGATTAGAAAGGGGGGGAGCTCTGCCGTCTTACAGAAGTGAGCCCAGGATAGTTGCTGCTTTTGACATGGTGACGGGCTCCTCAAAGTGGTCCTTCCAAGGGGTGGTAGAAGACTGGGGAGAATTCCAGACCTTTTTCTGAAATAAGATAACATGTAGAGGGTTCAACCTTCCCTGTCATGCTGAGAGCCTGTTTTGAAAGGAAAAGGGGTTTTTCCCCACCTCATTCTCCGCATCAAGTGGTAGAATGTTTTACACAGATGGCTTGACAACTAGCTTGTCAATTCTCTTTTAAACACTAGCATCCAACATGTTTCTTTTGGTTTGGCATTTTTTTCTCATTGTGAACTGTCTTCTGATGGTTTATAAGATGGGAAAACAAAGTCATAAACTCAGGTATCAAAAACTAAGCAGAGGGCATGGCAGAGGTTTACGATGCCTTGTCATAGGGCAGGAATTACTGTGTGTGTAGCACAAGCTAGAATCCATGTACTTAATCTATATGTAAAGTTATAGCTGGAAACCATGGTACTACATAGCTTTGCAGAAAAACAAAGGTTGTTATTTGAGCTCTTTTTCTCCTGCACATCAGACAGACTGCAAGCTACAGACCTTTTATTGAGTGTAAATTTTTCACACACTAGGAGGGATTTAGACATTCAATTACAAAAATTTCAGAATCATAATTTGGCTAAATAAAAGAGGTAAATCTGAAAATCTTAGGCATGGTCTCTTCTGAGGGACTTGATTTTGGACCTCCGTGTCTGGTGATTTTTCCATTCAGGATTCAGTGTCTGAAGTAGAGGAATTACTGAAGAAACACCATGATTTTGAGAAGATGCTCGCAGCACAGGAGGAGAAATTTGCTCAGCTCAGCAGGAAAACTAAGGTGAGTACTAGAAGGTTAATCAGCTGTGTATGAGACAGGATGATGTGGGTCCTTGATTGTTTGGATATCACTCCACATACTAAGGAACTCCTGGGCTGAGATGGAGTAAATGAGTAACCAAAGCTTAGATATTGCAGACAGAGCAGCTGAGAACCAGACCTATACGTGGATCAAAAAAGATAACTAGCTTGCAAAAGCTCTAGGGAAGAAGTGGAAGTTTTCTTCTATTAGGAGAAGCAAAAAGAGTGTGAGAAGTGGTGTGATCCCTTGCTACACAGATGGAGAAATTTTGCTTTATTCGGGAGTTCAGTAGGGAGTTGGAGCTACCTGAGCATTCTAGATGATAGCAAAGGGCTGAAAATAAAGGGAGATAAAAGCACTGATAGGCCTTTTTCCTTCTGAAATCAGAGTTTTACAATGGATTGTGATAAGTACCAAAAAATATTCACTGAGTCTCTCAGATCCTGTTTCAATGTGGGAGGTTTTAATTATTTTCCTGAAATAATCAGCAAAACATAGCTTTTGTGTTTGACATTAGGCTAAAAATTAGCTTGGCCAAATCTGTCTTTCATTCATTTCATTTGATTTGCAAATTGGCTAAATGAAGGGACAAAGGTCCTTTCCTCTGAAATTTTCCCTGACAACACCCCTAGACAGTGTTCTTACAGAAAACTTAAAGAAGCAGTGACACAAAAAAAGGAGTATAAGTTCTCTGGAGCTTATTAAAAAACCTGCCTCTAGAGAACTTAGCAAGGTCAGGATTCACTGTATTTGAGATTAACTGCAATTAGTATTCATGGTTTGGGTAACAAAATAATGCTCAGCACATAGCAACTAAATTCAGATCTAGCTCTAAGAATGCCAACAGAGGAACAGGCCTTAAAATTCAATGCCAGGTGACAGTGTATTTGAAAAACTATTCCTGCTTAAAATAATAAAAATCTTAGGTAAGTATCCATAAATGCAATGAAGGTAATTTAAAAAATGTAATACTTCTGTCCTACAGAGAGAAATGAATCTTCTGAAACAAGTGGACACAGAAGACAGTGAGCATAAGGATAAAGGCAAAGTTGTACGGGTTCCCTCTCTGAAAAGAAAAACATCTGACAGAAGGAATACACCACCAAAAGTGACAGAGATAAAGAGCACAATGCCACTGCCATCTGTGCCCTTACCCAGCGTGTCCTGGAGGGCCCCACTTGAAACTATTTTCTCCCCTGTTGAAAAATCTCCAACAAGGTTCCAACAAGTCATTGCTGAGGATGTCCCTGAAGTGCTGAGCAGCAACAAAACAGAAATGAAAGCTGAAACAAGGCTCAGTGAGATTATTCCTCCACCTACACCAAAGATGGTGGGTCCACAAGCTAGTTCTTTGGAAAGTCACGGTTCTGTAAGCTCTCCTTTGTCTCCTACTCCTATAAACCAGCAACACGGAAGCAGTTTGTCAGAATCTCGTGCCACAGACCACCTATCTCCTCAGGAAAAAGGTGCTATAGGCTCCTCTGTCTCCAAACTAATGGCAACACCACCCGAGCCTGGACAAAGGTCCCTAGATATATCACCAAACTTACTGCTGTCTAACTCCTCTCGGGAGAGACTAGAGAATACGTCTTCGGTAAGCCCACAGAATGTGCCTTTGCAATTGAAACACTTTCCACAATGATAGTTGACTTAAGCCGCTATGTAAAGCTTAAAACCATTTTTAATTTGCTCAGCTTTATAGACTAGGTCTTAACAACTATATTGGTTTCTGTTTTTCTTTCCCAAACTTGAGGTTATTCCGGCTGCTGAATACTCAGCAGAGCACCTAAAAACAGCCAGGAGATGCTGTCTCACAAAGAGGCGAGACTGCAGATTTACCTACACCCTCTATGTGAGGTAGCAGTGCTTAATGTCCACTGAGTTAAGAAGTCAGAGAGAGGCAGGACTTAATGGCACACTTGCCAAAGAGCTGACTTGTGCAAGACTAGAACCAACAATTCCTGCTCACCCAGGCAGGAAACACACTGTTAACTCATCACTCCTGTACTCCTGTACTCTGAGACGAATGTGTTTGTCACATACCCAAGTGTACCAGTACAACACTATATGTTGGTGTAACTCAGTATTTATAGAGGTGGTATGAATAACTTGAACCATTTAAGTTGTAAAATGTAGTTAATAATATAAAAATAATATTAATTAACACAATATGATAGAGCAAATTTCATAAGCAAATTGCTCTAGAAGGATGTGAATTCTCTTCATTTAGGTAGTATATCAAAGATATGATTGTAACATAGTAAGGATTTCTAGCTGTGCTGTTAATATAATGGCTAGAGGAAGCAGAGATTAGTTTCTTTGCATGGAATTTATCTAAAAAAGACCTTCAGAAATTTTAACGTATGCTTAAGGGCCATTTTAAAGTTAAGTAGCAATGTTCTTGTGTGTTTCAGGTTTCTGCAAGTCTCCAGAACATGGAGGGTTTCTTAGAGAAGAGAGACCAGGTCCTTCCAGGAAGACAACAGGTAGAAACAAATGCCATCACTCTGGGTTATTTCATTTTCCTTGGATTATAGTCCAGACCTGCTCAGATTTCTTCAGGATAATTCCCTGCTGAAGAGGAGCTCAGTACTAGGGGTTTGCTTCAGTTATCCTAAAATGTATTAGGAAGTGTCCACTGACTTTGGCAGTACCTGATTAAGTCCTTAAGAGACGATGTAATTTTTGCCTGACATGGGAGTCATACATTTAATGGATGTATGAACCAGAGCCTAGGCTGTATGAACATGTTAACTACATTTCCTAGTTATAAACACAGGTTTCAGTATATCAACTGAATTGGAAAAAAACCCCATCAATATTAAAAAAAAAAACAAACCAAAACCAAAAAACATCAAGACCAAAAAGTAAAAAAAAACCCACACCCCAAAAAACCTAAAGCTTCATGATCCTATAACAGCATGTGATAGTTTGTTGGCAATGGAAGCCCTCAGTCCCATGCTCCCAATACTTATAATTTCTAACTGTGCTAGAAGAGAATTAAAGTTCTGTTTATCTTTGAAGAATTGTTTTCTTAAATCTGGATTTGAATGAAACTGAAATCTAAATACTTATCCTGGGAAATAATACCACTTCAGGTCAGAAGCCTAATGATCACAACAGGGCAGGAAATTTTCTAATATTCACCACCAATCTGTAGACATCTCAGTGTTTCCTGAGGTCTTGCACATAAAGTTGTCTTGGATTATTTGTCCCATAGATTATTTCCCCCAAATTTTTTAACTTGAAAGACCTCTTTTAAAAACTGAATCTGGTATGGACTCCATCTTCTGGAAGAGAAATTTAGTTTTTTCTTCTCTTCTGTATATATAGAATTTAGTTTGCAGTGATACCAAACTTCCATATTACCAAACAAAAAAAAATATGACTTACGTTCCTCAGAACTTTTTCTTTCCTTTTCTCTGAATTACCAAATTGTCAACTTGATTCACTGACATAACAAAATATGAATATACAAAAGTAATAGGATCCTTCATCCAGAAGAGTCTCATGGCACTAAACTAAAACCTTACAGTAAGACATACTTGGGGTTGGCTTTTGCACATTGTTCAGTAGCATTCCACTGGGGTTAGTTTAAGAAATTAAGAAGAGTACAGCAGCCACATTAGGTTGGAACCACACACTTGACAAAACTAGCCTGTGACCAGCAGGCAGGGGCTGGTGTTCCAACTAGGAAAAAATTTTAGTGGCCAAAAACTAGACATAACTTTGATTATCCACCTTCAAAGATGTTGCTGGCCAAGATGGTATACTGAGCTTGCTTGAGCCAGGTTATGTCATTTGTTCAGTCCCGACTCATAGAGAGCCCTTCTTGAATCACCCTCACCAGAAACTATAGTAGGTTCTGCTCTTCTAGGAGATAATAATGACTAAGAGAACTTCTGTGATCATAATATGGACAGCTCCTGGCTTCTTGGGGAAGTTGCATATGAAAGATTTCACTACTCCTATAAAATATATAATTAATTACTGAATTTTATTACCATTTCTATTCATGTAGCCAGGTTCAAGGTCTTGGAAATCCTTCTATGTAAAACTTGATGGATTAAAGCTTGATTTCTATAATGATGAAAAAGAAGCATCTAAGGTAATTCAGTTTTTTACTCTTTCTAGCAATCTCTCTGTCTACCTATGTAAAAGTGCATTTAAAAGATTGCATTTAAAAACATTTGCTTTGGTTTGGGTAAGGGGTAATTAGTTCTCTTTCAAATGTCAGCTGAATGAAAATTCAGCAATTATTCAACTGATACCAACTATAAAACAGAATAATAAGTTTTCATAAATTTTCAAGGATATTCCTTAAAAGAAGTATCTTATGCAAGATTCACCTTCAAGATACAATGCAATCATCCATTGTTCCTCTGTACTTCTTTCTATTCAGTGATCCTAGTTATAAAGTTAGCGGCATAAAAATATGGGTGTCTAGTTGGCCTGCAGGTTGGTATGGAATTGAATCCTAGCAGAACAGACGCAGAAGACATTTTGTTTTTATTTTATCCCCCTTCAGAACATATCCACACTCCTCTCCCTCAGTATTGCAGGCTCCAAATGTGAGAAGCTAATAAATTACACCAGGAAAGAGAACAGCTTCATGTTGCGGTAAGTCTTGTGGAGAAGTGTGCAAATGAAAAGCTACACAGCTACCTGTACAGTTACATTTGCCTACGGTCACCTAAGACTGTATGTTGTTCAGAGGCGTAACTGGTATGTCTTACACTCACCAAGACAGAAGGTATAAGGCGAAACTAACTAGAATTCACCTTCTATCCTCATTTACAGGCTGAGAGATGGGGCAGAGTATTACTTTGCAGCACCTTCTCAGACACTGATGGAGGACTGGCTACAATCACTACAGAATAATATAGGTACATTCTCACTTCCTTCAAGAATGAGCTGTGTTTTTAGCAAGTTATGATGAAAGAAAGAGTAGAGAATGAGAAAGTGTCCTTAGTTCAGTGCATTTTGAGCTGTCCTTTTTGCCTCTGTTAGACAGCAGTACACAGGTCACCTGCCACCTTGTGATGTAGTGACCTGGCAGGAGAATGCCCAGGGTGACTTGCAAAGCAGCCTTTCAGTTGTACTGTGGCCAACATCAGGTTATTTCCAAGCCTTGCCCAAGGATTGTATTTTATTAAGGAGCTGCCTTGGATCCTGATCAACAGCTTTTCTGCTGAATCTAAATCTCTTTCTGGACACTTCTCTAAGCAGTGGCTTACTGGAAAGGAAGTCAAAGAACAGAGAAAATTGTTATGGACCAAGAAAAGGCAAACTCTGCCTCTAATGCTACTTCAGAAGGTTTTTATTTGTGCGTATTTTTGACCTTGCAGGAAACAGTAACAGATCACATTCCACAGTGATGGTGCAGCCTTTCACTTCAAATACAGAGACTTCCCAGAAAAGACTGTGGGACTTTACAGACAGGGACTCTGCTGAAAGACTGACCAGCAAAAGCTCACTTGTGAGGTATGGGTTCTGTGCCACAAAGCTGAACAGATGTCAGCACTGTTTGTGCTCAGGTAGCAGTCACCTACAAAGAGAGACTGCCCTGAGGTCAAAAAGTCCTACTCCTCTGTCACTAATGTCACAGAAATAGTGTGGCCAGCAGGACTAGGGCTGTGATCATCCACTGTACTTGGCAGTGGTGAGGTCACACCTTGAGTCCTGTGTTCAGTTCTAGGCCCCTCACTTCAAGAAAGCTGGAGCGTATCCAAAGAAGGACAACAAAGCTGGTGAAAGGTCTAGAGGAAAAAGTCTTACAAGGAGCCTCTGAGGGAGCTGGGATTGTTTACCTGGAGAAAAGGAGGCTCAGGGGAGACACAGACATGGAAAACATAGCCATAGCCAAATTCAGAAATTTGGCTTGTGTAAATCACTTTCTGTTGCATTTGGAGACTGTAAAAAACTTGCAGACTATGATGTGAAATCCTAGTCCTGCTACCAGGCAGACTTTTGCTGCTGAGCTAGATGCCTAGCAAGTTCTTATATATACAGAGTGATTTAAACTACTCTGGATTGTACCTGATTTTCTGGTGATGCTTGTTGTTGATAGGAGAACACCATCCTTCAAAATCAAAGCGGAGAGAAAGTCTGCAGAATTTTCCAGATTTTAAGGAAGATGAGACTGCAGGGACACAAGCCTCCATCACCACCCTAAGTCTAGAACAAAGTGGAAATAAAACAAAGCTGCTTCCATCTCTACTAGAAGCAGGAAGAGAAAAAATATATTTGCCTCAAGGAATACCAGATCATTATATCTTAACTCAGCCCTCTGGAAATGTATGGATATGTTTTAAGGTAATCGATTCCCTTGAAACTTTTTAAATTATGTATTAAATCTCATAAAATCTTTAAATACAATTAAACAGGACTGCATCTGGTATACTTTTATGTGTACGACAACTCTGTCATTCAGCATACCACATAAGTGATATCCACTCTGAGTTACCTCAGGGAAGAGCAGAGGCACCTTTAAGCCAGACAGCTCAAGTGGAATGACTGCAAGACAGGAATGGGGAGCACCTAGCAGAGCATGAGGTGCAAGCTGTGATTGAACTACAGCCACCTGCAAGTGGATTTGCAGGTACTAACAGATTAAAGAGGCTTCGGTGGTCTGTGCACCCAAAGGTAATGTTTGCTATATACTTCCTGCAGTGTTTTGTAGTCTCCACAGTCTTGCCTTTTTACAACACATTAATCAAAAACTCCCTATTTGCCAATTCTTTCTGGATGAAGTTATCAGGAATAAGAAAAGTCCTGCAGTGTTACTCATTTTTTATGGAATCTGAATCTAAAATAAGGCATGAACAACCACTCTTTCAGTGTAAAAGGAGAGAAAATGCAGGTTAGCAAGGAGGAGGTCTAGTCCCCAAACAGCAAGCTCCACATGCTTGGAGCTTGTGTGTATGGTGTAACCATGGGGATGAATATATATATATATATATTTTCCCCGACTTATCTCTGTTGCTGAGCCAAAGTTATCTAGCATGAAGATGGGAAGAAAGGACATTTTTTACCCCCAGGTCATAGTGGCTGGGGGCTCTTCTTTGACAGATGGAAGCTAAAGCTTCAAGTCCTTAAATCCTCTGACAAGGACTTCAGCCTTGGTCCTTTTCTAGCCCATCTGAAGCATGACTCTCATTCTTTCCTTGCAGTCTTCTCTTCTGCCCTGACTAATTCTCCAGTGGAAGGGAAGGAGAACCCTTTACACCAAGTTTATGTAAATAATTTCTGGGTACATGCAACATCTAGAGTTTAAATTTAGACTGATTCAGATCAGTCACTTGCATCCAACAAGGTGATCTAATAATTTTTTTTTTTTGGCTAGTCCAGCTTTCTCATCTGCTGTACCTCAGCTGGAGCTGCTGCCTGTCACCAAAAAAAACCCCAAAAACAAACAAACAAACAAAAAAAAAAAACCAAACACAAAAAAATTAACATTTTTTAAATGTATTTTAAACTTACCATTTAAACTTACCATTCAACTGATAACAGCAAAGTTATCAAGAAAGGCAGCCTCACTTAGGTCAAACCACCAAGAGGCAAAACAAACCTGTGCCTTGGTTGTGGCTTAGTACAGCTGCCTCTTTACCCTGCCTTGTGCCATTCCACTGAAGAGGGTTTTACCACAGGAGGCAGATTTTGTTCCATTTTTTCCAAGGCTCTCTATGCCTTTGTAAACCTGGAGATCTTCTCCCAGATTTTTCCATCCAATCTTGAAACCAGCAAATGCCCTATGAAGTTCTCAGCAGGCATTTAGCAGTAAATAGTGCTAATACAAGTGGAAAAAACATTGTCTTGTGTTTAAGTGCATAAAGTTTCATGGATCTGGTGTTCCTTCACAATATTTTATTAATTAATATATTATTATATTTTAATTAATATATTATTAAATGGTTAAAAGACACAAACAAGCAATTTCTCTGAAGAACAGCTAGCAGTTATTAGAACAAACTTTTGTTTCGTCTGTGTTTGGCAGCAGATAACAAGCTCTGTATTTGTGGAGGTTATCCATCGGAAAGTAGTGATCTGGGGTGCCTTTCGGGTGACTTTTTGGCAGGCATGCATTCATATTCAGTCATTAAGCAAACATAACACCAGACTAGCAATGCCCGATTTATAAGCATGTCATATGCCTTTTTAGGGTGAGACACAAATAAACAGCTTTCTCTTGGAAGTGCCTGCTTTGGTTTGCGTGCACTCTGCTCAGTCACAGGACAGCATGTGGCACAAGGCCAGGCAAGAATGGGGCCAAGGCAAAAAAATGAAACCACAACCTTTGGGGAACAAACACATGAATTTGATGTCCCAAGAGCAGTGAGAATATGAGATGGACAGCATGATGGTGTTACTCACTTCTTGTCCATCCTTTCCAGCCAGGGTAAGCAGGGGGTCAAACACCAAATGTCTGTGTAGCCTAGGTGAATCAGGGTGCACCAGGACATGAGGCATGGGAGAACATAGCCTCTTTCCAGTCATCATGGAATTAGTTTGTGTTCTGTCCAAGCAGGTTATAGGGAGGGGTTTCTTTATAGGACCAGCCAGAGGAGCACAAAAATTTGTATGTGCCACAAAATACTGTGCCAGGACATGCTGCTCTCCTATGCAAAGGCAACAGATCCTGCTGGTAGGACTCTCTCTTTTGAGATAGCCCCCTGCTGCCATCTCACCTTTCAACTCAAAATGGTTCTTTTTTTTTTTCTTGCAGCTGGTATCCCATTAGTTGTTAATGTCTCATGGCCAGAATTCAGCTGTACAGTTGCATTTCAGCTTTTACTACTCCTCAGGTTTTGCATGATATTCTTTAGCTCAGGAAATTAGCATTGTACAAGGAATATTACTACGGCTTACTCATTGCCATTGCAGCAGAAGCAGCATTTAGTAGATGCAGGGTTCAGGCAACGAAGTCTTTGTAAATGCTCTCCCTTCGAGCTTGAGTACTGCCTGCATATACCCTGTTGCTCTTTCTTTGTCTAACTTTGGATTTCAAATAAAATAATTCTAGATCTCAAGTAAATTTCCAACATGAAAGAAATGTATAAGATTTTCCTTGGAGGTCCCTGGTGAATATGCTGTGTTCGGAATGAACAAGGTAGAAGCAGGTCCAAATCCTTCAATGTTAGAGAAGTCTGCAAACTCCTCTGACTTTTGTGGATCTCTGTTTTATATTGCTCAGCATCCTTCCCTACCATCTTTTTAATATAGTGGAAGGCCATAAAGATGTTCCAAGCTCCTAGTTCAAGGCAAAAATCTCTCACTGCACTCCAAAGCAAATGAAAACCAGGTGTTATTTTTCCAAATATTTTCCTCCAACAAGGAGGCGTGATAGAGAATTTCCTTTTTTTATTATTCATGCCCTATTTTGTGTAGCACCTTTTAAAAATACTTTGTCTGTAATATTAGGGATAGAAGACTATAAAAGGTAAAAATCTTCTGGCTGTGAAAATATAATGGCTATGCATTCTGTTAGTGAGTTATGTTGTCGTACATTCAGTTTACATCCATAAGGAGCACCAGCTTATGGCTTGGTCATGATTATTTAATTAAATGTACTTGAGTCTATGCTAATTATTCCTCTCAAGCTTCTGCTATCATAAGTTTGTTTCAGGCTCTTGCCATTTTAATGCATAAAGGCACTGCTGGTATAAATCAGTGCAATTACTCACGCTTTATTCAGAACTTTTCCTCCAGCCAACGCTCAAAAGAACCGTACTCACTCACTGCAGCTAGCATCATCTCTCCTTGAAATGTAACTGCCCCTTTTGTGGCGTTTGGAGCAGCGTTTCTGTGTCAAACTCTTGCAGAAAAAAAGGAGTAACTTCTAAATCAGCAAGGCCAGACAGAACGTGACTGTCCACGTTGCAGTTTGGACATTGTTCACACATATATGCATGATTTTTTGGCCTGACTTCAAAGCTGAGCCCACCAATTCAGTGCAAATTCTAGTTGCTCAGCCTATCTGAAAATCTGGACATTACTGAATGCAAATGGCCAGGACTTGGTTTGTAATGAAGCATTGAAAAGACATCAATAATGGGCTCAGGGTTGAAAGGACAGGCACATACAAGAAACTATCTAGCACCACCATATCATATAACATCAGGGAGATCCTGAGAGGTCTCTGCTAACCAGGACCTTAATTTCTTAACAAGTAAGACCACAGTGTGAGGCTCTTGTGAGCTGAAAACGTGGGGGAATAAGATTAAATAAACCCTTTTGAAAGCTAGGAGCTTGAACAAGGCAAGATGAGAAATGTACAGGTTTCCTCAGTTTTCTGCAAATAATGAACACTGTGATGTGTCACAATGTGACTGTGATGTGTTCCAATGTGCTGCCATAGCCTTCAGTAGGAAACAGTGCAAAAACCCAGCCTAGGGGTATCCAGAGTAGCTGGAGACGTTCCCAGTCCTGCTGCTTCTCTTCCGTTCTACAGCACTCTGGATTGCCTGGAGGAGCATGTCTTTGTTATTGAGGATGTTGTATTTGCTCAGGTTCACAAGTTTATCAAAATTTTCAGAGGAGTAGATTAGCCTAATGAGGTAGTAGGGGGAGCAGCTGTTCTCCAGATTTACTTTGCCTTCTTCCATCTCTGAGTGACCACGCTTTACCCCTGCAGAGTAAGACAAAAACCACCACAGTGAGCTGAATCTGGAGTACTAAATACACGGTGTTGTAAGGGACTGATCTACTTGGCAGAACCCACTGTTAAAAACAACCCCCAGGAATTACTACAAACCCACCCCACAGCTTGAAAGAGTCATTCCTGGTCAGTTTTCCCAGCTACTCCTCCCTCCTCTCCTGCTAAGGCTCCGTCCTGGAAATCCCTCAGCAGAGCTGGCACAAATCCTTACATTCCTCCTTATCCTGCCCCTGCAGACAGTTATTCCTGGCAGTGTGCCCATGGGTCCACATCCTTTCCCAAACCCCGTAAGTCTGACTCTCAGACAAGACACACACCTGGAACACCTTTCAAAATCCATGATCACCCCTCAGTTAACAGTGACAGGTGACAAGTGCACATTTGCCAGCTAGAGTGAGTACATACAAGGAGGCCTTGTGATGCTAACCACATAGCACTGCCTGTTGCAGAGTGAGTAGGTACAGATGGACCAGAGGACCCCACATCAGACTCTTAGCAAACTCCAGCTTGGCCTTGAGTTAACTCAGCCTCTTGGAATTGGCAACATCCATAATCCCTGTTAGGCCAATATTTTTGCATCAGGGACTTCTGCAGTCTCATATTTATGTTTCTACAAAAATTTAGCTACATTTCTTGCTGGGTTTTTTTTGCCTATCTCCTTGCAGTCTGAACCAAATATGCCCAAAACACAAATGTAATGTGAGAGGACTGTCACCAGGACTACAAAGACTGCTGAGATATTCCTTATGATGTCAACCAGAAGCTCATGAACTGACATGAATTTTGCTTGAGAAATATCAGGTTTTAGTCTAACCTAGTGGTTTCAGGGCAGCGTGATATCAGGGTCCTGGGCACACGCTGTCACTAAAAGTGGCTGTATTAAAATATCCAGTGTTGCTTTATTGAGCCTCCCAATATTCAGAGAGATATTATCTGTGTTACCCACATCCATATAAAGCTGCATCTGCCTCAAGCACACAAAAGCACAGTCTATAATACTTGCATTGTAAATGGGCACTTCACAAATTGAGTCTCTTTGGAATTTAAATAGTTAAAAACAAGAAAAAAGTACCCACATTCCACAAGGTGTCTCTCATCCGCCTAGAAACAAAAAGCTCCACTGTTAAAATTGAAATCCACAAAACCAGGTTGCCAAGGACCTTCCTCCCCCAACTACCCACATCAGTTGCTAGTTGTCAGCTTGATGGATGAATCACCAACTGCTAGAGACATGCAAGTGAGCGTCATAGCTCACCTGGAGCACTGAGAAGCTGCAGCAGCTGCTTTGCTCTGCATTATCTCATCTATCTTTCATTCAGAGAGATTCCAAAAACCTCACCTTCTTTACCTGCCAGCCACTGCTCAATGACCAGATCTCACCACACATTGCCATCTGGACCATCTCCAACCACTGAACAAGCCTACAGGGTATTTCCTCTTTTCATCCATAGAGTTTCTAAATGTGGTTTTCTTGGTTAGCTCTTACTGCACATATTCACTGAGCATCAGTGAATAGCAGAGCAGAAAAGGACCTCTACTTAAAATGTTTTGCTGCTGTTCCTACCCTTCTCCAAATGCTGCCTCAGAGACACCCATTCTGCTGTGGTCCTACTTATAAACACAATAGAATTTTGGAAGTTTGCCTTTCTGCCTCCACCAATTTTGCACTACTTGCATTAATAACTGGGCCAGACAGAGCACCACATGCCCTCTCTGCAGGCAGCCATTTCACCTGCTCCTGAGCTGGGTGCAAGTAGGTACTCACTACAAGTGGTTCATGGTCCTCTCTTCCAACCACAGCAACAGGGCCAGAGAGGAGGCCCCAGGTCCAGCCGGCCATGCAGCTGCAGCCTGTGAGTGCATTGGCAGAGCACTGCAGCAAGCTTGGCATTTTGCCTGCTCTTGCATTCATTAAACATTCAGATGCTTTCCAGGGGCTGGGTTATTTTTTGTTTTGTTTTGTTTTTCACAAAACTGAAGACCCACCCATTCTTGGCAATGCTTTCCAACACAGTGTGGCACTGAGTTGCCTGGGATTGTGTCCTCCATACTTTGCAAGTGGAGAATGACAAGCAGGTGTACAGAGGTTGCTCTTCTGCCTGTCATCAGTGGAAACATACCAGGAGTAGAGCACAGTACATAGTTTTGTTGACTGAATTTACCTGGCTCCTTGAATTCCTTAAACGTGTCATTCACCAGGGGGAAATGGATTACTATGGGTGCTCTGGGGTCCTCGGCATCCGAAAAGACATAACATTCCTTTGGGTTCTTCTTTTCTTCTTCACTTAGCTCCACTTTGGGGAACGGGATATTTTGTATCTTGCAATATTTGTACGTCATCTCTAATTGCTGTGGACACAGAATGTCACAGAGTTAAAGCTCTAAGCCAAGAATCAGGTTTACTCATGTATCCTAGAAATACTATGGCATCTTAACTCATTCCCTAGAATCACTCTAAAATTAATGTGTAGTCCAAAGCAGCTGCAGTACAACCCTACTTTTGGCCACCATTCACCACAAGTCAGATGATGCCTCTTATCAGTTTATAACGCTTTTTACAAGCTGAAGAGAATGATCCAAAACCACATTTAGAATTTGTCATGACAGACCAGGAGAGATCAAGGGCATGTCTCCAGCAAGTAAGTTTGAAGTAAGTTTCTTTCCTCCTCCAAGATACAGTGACTGGTTTGGTCTTGAATATATGATCAAGATTTAGAGAACCACTTACTTAAAAGTTTTAATAAGATAAGAACAGTTTTACCATAATTGTAAAGAACAGAGTAAGTTAATCTTCTCACCTTGAACACACTCCCCAAACCATAATCAAGGGATATAATGACATCTACATTCCTCTCTGGCTTGAAAAGTGCTGCACCACTGGTGTTGATGAAATAGCCAACATCTATCAGACAAAGATATTTCTGCAGCGGTGTCAGATTGTTAGGGAAAGCGTCCAGTACAGTGTCTGAAAAACATTTTGAATATAGTTAGGGCTGCATTGTTAGGAAAGGAGGAGTGAGTAATTCTGTCTGTGCTACATGTTAAGAGCTGCCTCTTGGTTGCCCTCAAGACCAGGGTCACCTCCCTCCATAACGCAAGCCCACAAACATGGCCTCAGAAGCATGCCCTTTTAGACTGCACATCTGGGCCCATCTGGCCTGTTACCACACTCTCCCAGATACACTCACAAAGGCAGGCCATGAGGCAGCCAGGAAAAGGACAGGTGATACACAGACTCCACTGACCTCACAGCTGCTCTGGGGAGTCATTTTTCACAGAATACAGACTTCAACAGATTTTTTTTCCCCCTAAGAACTGGGAAAAATGTAAACAACAAAAACAATTTCACAGTGTAGCAACACAGCTAACAAATGCAATACATCACTGCATTTTTGCATTGCTCTTTTTTTGCTTTTGTATTCTCAGGGTTACGCTCCTCTCCCATGTTGAAAAATCTGACTTCAACCTGCTTTCAGTGATCTCATATAAATTATCTGCAAAAAAAATACCACATCATGCACACAGTATCCCCTACCAACAGCTTAAAATACTGCTTGAATTAATTAAACCTCACATTAATGCCAAAAAGAGCCAAAAGGGGATTACACCAACTGGTAAGTTGAGATCTAAAGCCAGTTTCTGATAGTTAGACTCTTATTTCTATGCTAGCAACCTCACCAACTTGTCCTGTAGACAGCAAGTCCTCTATTGTTCCCCTAGTACTCTTCTAGTCCCATGAAACACGAAACATTTTGCCATGGTTTTAAGTATCAAAATAATGGGTTAAGGGTGTCCCTCAAGTTCACAAAATGAGGTAGAAAGCCCAGAGCAGAACACTTGAGCCTTAAATTATTGTGTTTAGGCATTTTAAGAAACTGTTGATCACAGAAATACTGCAGCATTTAATTCATTCAACCTCTCTGCTTCCTTGGCCTCATTCTGTAGTGTTAATTTAAACTGTACAGAGTAACTAGCTTGTTCCATAGCCTGGAATGTTTCACAGCAGCTTGAAGTAATAACTCATAATTTTTCCATTTCCTCACTGTCAGGTCTTTACAAAATGTGCTTATTTTAGCATTCAAGGCTGCTGAGAATTCACAGATTCTGCTGTCATGAGAGACATTTGCTTGCAGTCCCTCACAAAAGAAACAGAGCTTTTTACTTGTCTTTGGCCCAGTGAAAATTTTTAGTTGAAATTACATTACCTTCCTTTTCTTATCACAGAGGTGGAAATATGCAGCATTTATTCATGGCTGGACATGTGAACTACAAGAAGGTATTTTCTTGTGAGAATCTCTTCTTCCATCCCACATGCAAATAGAGACTTTCTTTAAAGAAGTCCTGTCTCAGGAATTCCCTTGAAAGCATGAACCCTACTGTAAACGCACTACACTAATTCCACGGTATTAGTTCTGAAATATCTCACCAGGAAAATCAGACATTTAAAATTTTGTTTTAATCTGTCAGATAACCTCAGATGTAGGGAAGCCTTTAAAACAGTTATATTCTGGAGACTTCACCTACCACAAGACTATCAATTCTGTTCACAGACCTGACATCTTGCTCCTAGGGTTTAGCTTGGTCTTGTGCAGGCAACCAAAAGAAGATAGAAAATCTGGTAATTTTCCCACTCCAGACTCAGTTTCCCTTTTCCCTCTCCAGACTTCACGCTTTCCATATATTTTACTTTATCTGTAGATTGTCTATCCTGAGATAGTCTTTAGTGTTCCTATGCTTGCTTCCACAAAATCCTCCTTGAAATCTGCTTCTACCCATTTGTCTTTAAAACTGGTAATCAGCAAATGTAAGGAAAGCTTTTTTTTAACATTTACTGACTGACAATTTTATCCTTCATCCACCTTCTTAAGCTACTTGCTTGCTCCTTCTCTCACCCACCCTTCTTATGCTACTTGTTTTCTCCTTCTCTCATTTACTTTCTAAGAGCAGACTCTTTCAGGACACTGACTTTTTGCTTACTGAACATTTTGAAAGCAGATAGCACACTGTGAGCTTTGCCTTAATCCAAAAAAAGCACCATTATGTCTTGCCATTGTCATCAAACCATGTAGCAATGGCAGAGAGGGACAAAACATACTGTAACTTGCATAAAAAAGGGGAAAGAAAACACAAGTTGCCAAAGAGAAAGACTCAGAGGAGGCAGAGAACGCATACTTTCTTGTTGAAGTCGGATTAACCTTGATAATGTGGGTCCTCCCACACTGCTACCTGTTCATGGAATAAATGAGGGTGGTGGGATTGTAGGAAGGTTTCTGATCCACAAAACCTCAGCTCCATCACCTTGCTATCATTTCACAGATTGTTTCATAGATTCTGAGGTAAAACTATTATGACTGTTTACTTTGCCTTCCTGCAGAGCACAGACCATAGAAAATTGCTGTTCCATTTATACATCAAGTCTACATATTCTGTTTGTTTAATACATACAGTCTATGTGATTTCAATTTTCTGTAGCAGGATCTTGGTACTTCTGTTTCTGAGGGGTTAAAGAGAGGTCTCTGGATGGATAAATCATCAGGCAGAAATACCAGACATACGGGCAACCACAGGCTTGCAACCAGTCCTTTCCTTCATCTGATCCACATAATAACCTGCTATTTTATGCTTCTGGTGTTACCTTTGTTTCTTGACCTCAAAAGATTCTGCCCTTCATGAATCTTTGGACTACTGTACCTATGCAGAGTGACGAACTTCCTGTAGAAGAGCATGGTTTGACACAAATTACAGATATCTTCCAGCAGGGAAAGAGCAGCCCATGGACTAGTTCATTTTAGCCTGTTACCCTAAAGCAACAGACACTGTGAACATAGTTCTACCTCAACAGATTTCCAAACCCTGAAAAAAATATCTCTAAATGTGAGTTTTCCAAAGTTTAAAAAAAAAAAATCTGAGATGTTACCTGCACAATGCAGCTAACTCTTTGTTGCAGTTACCTTTCCATTCAATAAATTTTTTCTGATGTATATAATCCTTATGAAATTCTAAGCCTCTCAGGAAGTTATGAGACTTTCCCAGTAGTGGGCGCTTGGTCATAATGTCCTGAAACATTTCATACAACTTCCCTGACAAACAGGATGGAGGCTCGATGACAGTGATATCATCCTCAGGGGAATGTTTTTCTGAAATAGAGAAGAAACTATGAAATAGAGGGGAAAAAAAATCAGCAACCTGTTCTGCCAGGCCCATTTACTGGCTAGCTGCCCTTCTTTTCTTTCTGTGGGTCCCTCTTCTCTCTGTTTCTTGCAGGCTGCTGGAAAACACGTGCACATGACCCATATCATTTAAACAGAGATATTTGGTTTTCTATAAAGCAACCACAGCTTTTGTCTTTTACTCTTTCAAATGACATACTGGCTTTGTACTTTTGTCCACAAGTAAAAGCCACCCTTCTCATTTGCAGTCATGGGCAGAGTCATATAACAGACCAGGAGGAATTTTGAAATGAAAAACATTTGTAACTAGCATGAAGTGTGGCTCTGGGGAAAAGAAAAGAAGGGAAGGGGCAGGGCAGGGCAGGGGAGGGCAGAGGAAGGAAAAAGAAAAGAAAGAAAACATAACATAGTGATCATTCTGATACAGATTAAAATTATTCTGGAAGACCCACAGTGAGGCAACACAACATGCAATTTAGAGTGAACATGTGAGAGATTATTCACAAACAGCATCATCAGTGTACCTTTCTTAAGCTTCTCCTGAATAGGAAGTATTATCTGGTCAAAAATAAATACTGATTTTTAAACTCTTACCTATATCTACCATATCTTGGGCCCATCGTTCCCAGAACTCATTTGAATTTGAGGACCAGTACAAGCCATCCAGCAAATTCCTAGTAAAGATGTTTGTCCAAAGACCTGTAAGCCAAATCACATGGTGAAAATACTGCCCTACCACATGTTAACCACTGACTATTACAAGTATCCATGTCTCATATTATTGGCCCATGTAAACAGACCCTGTCATAACACAGCTTAAGCAGTAGGTCTCACAGAGTTCAAAAATAATGGTGTCAGCACTTCACTGCTCTTTCTCAAGAGGGAACTACATACAGACTATTCACTGCATAGTAGAGAGTAACAAGAGGTATTTATCACCCAAATGATATTTTAGAGTGTTTACTGTGTAGCTGTGAGAGAAGCAGGCTTTAAAAGCATGGTGAAGCATCAGGGCCTTCTTTAAACCAATTTATTCTTTAAATTGATCTAAGACCCATTTCTTCCTTTCAGGCACATTTTGTTTCTGTGGACTACAATTGGTCCAGGGTCAAAATAGAATTGGCTCCATATGTGAGTCTGCTTTTGGAAAAGAAAGAACTATTCTTTGTCATTAAGCCCCATGCCAGGTACTTACATGAGGAACAAATTCAACCTCTAGCAGACTTCACAGTGAGAGAAATATATTTTTTGTCTCCACTGGACCCCTGGTTTTGGTATGAAAACTAAAACTCTTGTAAGGATTTAAAATCTGCCTGGGATAGATGGGTTCCTCTGACTAGCTGTTTTTACCCTTTTCTTTACCTTTACTGGCAGAATGGCCAGTCAAGGTAGCTGTTCAAAGTTCAAAGGGCTTCCTTCATCCTTATGGGCAAAGAAGATTAGTGACATCATTCTCAACCCATAAAGCTCAGGTGGCTCTCACCTTTGTGGGTTGTTTTAGATGACATTTTATTTTCAGATCCCTCCAATTCTACCGCAGTAATGCATTCTCTAGAAATATAGTTTATGAAGTTGAAGAGTTGATGACTGCTCAGGGAAGGAAGGCTTATTATTTCCACAACTTGCCTTTTCCACTATCTTGTTTGGTTTAGAAAATGTAAGGGGAACCATGTTGCAACTTTCCCAAATCTGCCCAGCTTAAAGAGAGGACAGAGGGAAAGAAGCTTTACAAAGAGCAGAAGTGTACAAAAGTGCACACTGAATCAAGACTAGAGCAGACTTGCTGGCAAGGAGTGTTGTACACAGGCCAGTGGCTAGCTAATATCATGATTAACTGTATTGCACTGTTAGGTCACCTTCCAGATAGCAGATCCGAGACTCCGGCAGCTTCTTCACTCGCCTTCCCATGAAGAACTTGCTGTCAAAATATTCTGAAGGAATGGAGACTCCATATTTTGGTATGGCTACCTCATAAGGAGAGAAATCTGCCCACTCTACAAAAGAATTGACACATGGCATGTTTACTGTAACAGAAGTAAGAAAACAAAACCTTCCTCTGTGGATAAAACTATCCACAAGCTCCATGGATCTTGCTTGTCTCAGCAGCACAGTACTATTCGCAGCTTTTTAATTCAAGCTGTACCATAGGCCTCCATACAAACTGAGAGATGATTTGCATACAAAAGGATCTAGCCTTTTCCCCTCAGAAAAAAGTCTAACATTAGGTTCAAAAGCTTAAATATCTATTTCTATATAAAGATTCTGGAATCCCACTTGCCTCTCTAAATCTAAAGAGCATCAAGTGTACAACATGCAAGCGTGATCTAAACTGCAAGGAATAACTGGCATGAAAGCTAACCCAAACCTGCCAGTCGACATGATATAACAAAGCAGCCTGAAGACACATCAGCACAAAACTAGAAAGTATCACAGTGTGGGCATGGCCATGCAGTTTCCTGACTCAAGCTGTCCTGTACAGGCATTGCAGTAGAACAGTAACTATAAACCTAACCTAATGGAAGCACTAATTGCTTTTTCCTTCCAGAATCTTATCATTTTAATACCCTTTCTTTAATGTGGCCTGTGTCCATTTAAAGGGTGTCATATCACAGCATCATACTCCACTCCATTTTCATACCTTTATCAGTGTAGTATTTAGGGAAGTGACAATTACATTTTCCAGCACCTCTACAAACTAAGGAAGCATCAAAGCCATTTTATAGGTGTGGAACTGAGGCAGAAAAAGATCAGATGATTTGCCCACACTCACTCACGGTGTCTGTAATAGGACTTTTACTTCTACACAATGTCTGTAGGATTTCACCCCAGAATTTCAGAAGTGTCCTGTTTATGGCTGAGGATGTTACCCAGCAGATCTGCTCTTTCTAACCCAGTAGTTTGCAAAAAAGACAAACATTTTATTAAGAGATGACTGCTGAATCAGGGCAAGTAACAGATGTATTCCCCTTTTTTTCTACACACACACACACCCACACACACCCTCCCTCCAAATTCTCTTTAGTCCATACCCAGAATCAGAAGAAACTCTAGGAACACTTACCTCTAAATTTGAAAGTACCACACTTCTCGTCTTTCACATTGAGGACTGCATAGAAAGGTAATGGGTTTTGTCCATGCTCCAATGCCCTGCGCTGGTCTGTGAGTTTGTACTTTCTTGGCTAATCAATGAAAAAAAAAAAATCACAGTAAACCTCTGGAAGAGCATAACACTGACACAATTTACCCGCATACGGATTGATAACAGATATTTTACAACACAGAGGAATCTGTGAGTCACATTTTAATACGAGGCCTTTTCCTTCATGTTCCTGAGCTTTCCTTCTTGGTTGTCTTTTTGATACCTAGTAGCTTCTTCTTTAGAATATCTAAGTGCCTTGACTGTCTGCATCCCATAGATCTTTACTAAGGCTGAGATTAATGTTCACATGAGGACAGATTACTCCAGCTCTTAAGTGTCAAATTATAAACAGATTGTAAAAGATCTGACTTTTCAGGAGGGTAGGTGCAGGAATTTCTCAGCTCTTTCTGAAAGTTTCCCTCCTGAATTTCCTAGTTTTTGGGTACCCTAGTACAGAGGCACCTTCAAACTATTATCTACTCTGGAAAATCCTGGCTCCAAGATCCTCTGTCATAGTTTACAAATCACACTGGGATGCCTCAGTCTCTTTGAATTTGTTACACACATTACATCATGCTCTCAAAGAGTAAAGCTCTAAAGAAAATGAGTGGATGTTTCTCAGTTGTTAGGCAGGACCATCTACATACCCGTTCATGTAAGAACATTTCCTGAACAAGCGACCACAGAGTTGTAAAAGATGACACATGTCCTGCTTTTGCCCTTTCAGTGAGTTCCTTGTGGTAATACTTCAGATGGTCTATAGACATAAGATTGAGTTTGCATTTTGTCACTTTTTCTTTTACTGCCTTAAGTGGCTCCTCTAGAGACTTCTGTGACCAGTCAGCATGCTCATATAGGTCTGCTAGGGTCCTAAGCAGCAGAAATGTGAGAAAATCGACCATTTATTTAGATGATTTTGGAAAACTGCTATATTTACACAATCACTTTAATCAACAAAGAGAATCGGTAAGCCTAAACTGAAGTTATAATTGAGAACCAACAGTAAGAGCTTCACCAGGCTCTTGTGAGCCTTGTTCACTTGTTAACAATGTAAGTCTTTAAAAGAGATGCCTCTCTCTCACTGTGTGGGAATGTAGTCACAGTCATTCCCAACCAAACCTCATTTTCTATACTCACCATGTTGAGCCAGAAGCCCCAGTGAGATAGGTAACACAGTCCAACAGATTTAGCTTCTGAAGAGCTAAGAGGTGGCCGAACATTGCTGACATTGCTCTGAGACCTCCGCCTGTTGCCATAACAGCTATTACTGGGACCTGTTCAAAATATAAGTATTATCCTCATAAAGCTACTCCCTTGCGTACTTGGAGAAGTCTATTTACAGCTCATAGGATTTCCTCAGCAGACTTCATTGGAGGACAATGAAATTAAATCAACATTTAGCCCGTCTTTACCAGTACCTTCTTTAAATTAACCTCCAGATACTCGGTGGGTTTTCTCAATCCCAAAGCTTGGATGAGTTTCAATACACAATGATTTTAACTCTCCTTCCTATCCTTGCTCTTTATAATTGGAATTGCAATGATTATTAATAGATAATGATATGATTTTATTAAAAATAACAAAAAATTGCAGTAAATGCAATTAAGAATGGACAAGGAAGTTTTTTGAACTTAGCAGAATTCAAAAAACCCAAAATGATTTTTTCAACAGCATTTTTTTCCTTCAACAAATATAATTTCAACAAGAAAAAAAAAAATTTCCCTTAAAAATTCACCCTGGATCTTGGCAACTAAAATACTTCAGCTTGTTATAAAATGTTCTTTCTTCACCCCAAACAATTTTGACTTTTTGTGAGAAGTGTTCTGAAAATGAAAAAAAAAACAGGTAAGCCTAAAGAAGGAACATTACAATAATTTAATAAATATCTATGTGAGGTGAATTTCCAATACTCCTGTTTTCCTATTGGTTTGGGTTGTCTGGCTAGGCTGTATCTAACACAATATCCTATATCTTGCTGACCCACAGCATTGCAGCATTGAAACTCTGGCTTTGAAGTGTGGTATATTATGTCCTTGGGAATTTGGCCCATTGAAAAGAATGGAGGCATGAACAGCTGAGTTGAAATTTTACATGAGTAGGGGGTATGTCACACTGAGAACTTCTGTTCTGCTACCAATCAAATCTATGGCTATGTTATCAACATGCAAAATCTACTAGAAATTTTGTGGGGACTTGTGCTAATCTTAATTCAACAGACCCACACACCATGCTTGGATTTCAATTCACAGACCTCGCGTCCATGTAGATCTCTTTTCAGATGAAGAACCCTTTTCAGGGCACCGGCAACCACTCTCTTCCTTTTTTGCAAGAACTGTTGCTCTTCTTGGCACAGATCATACCCGAAACGCACATCTAGTTTTTCTGTGCTGAAATATGAATAAACCCAGAGGCATGGGATTGGTGTTTAAAATGCATATGGATTTATTTTCAGCAACTTCAGTCTACTAAATATCATAAAAAATCACGATTCCTTGTTCACATTTAAACAGAAATGCATCTTCCAGTTTCAAGGAAATCAACTGGTTTGCTTCTATGTGGTGTCTTTATTGTCTGATGTTTCAGTGTAAGGTTTACTGTCAGCTAAGGATAGCAAATATGAAAAGAGAAAGGCTTTGTGTCTTTCAGTGGCTTTGTCTTTCAGTAGCTTTGTAAATTGAGTCCTTTCTATTTCTGCTTCAAATCATTTCTGAGCAAAGGGTGTCTTGAACCTAAGAAGGTCTTTCATGGGCATTTCTAACACACAAACAATGTGATGATAAAGATATTAAAATAATTTTTGTTTGTTTGTTGTCTGACTCATTACTTTACAATGTAACATTTTGTCTTTCCTATCTTATACTTCTTTCTACTGCTATCACCAGAACCACAAGTTTATTTTCGTAAGAGTACCTGTGTGGTTTGAGTAATGTATGGACTCTGGATGTTTTGCTTGTTTCAAATTTCCTTTTCCCTCTGCCTTCTTCCTGTGTCCTTTTTGAAGAAGCCTTCAATCTCGGTCATTGGTTCTTTGATGCAAAGGACATTCAGTGACTAAGTTCCTCACTGTTTGAAACTCATAATTTCTTCTGCATCTTGGTATGACTCCTTTGCCCCAAGGACATCTAACTTTGATCTATTGTGGTGACTCTTTAATGATGAGTTTTGTTATATTTTGCCTCTAGTCTTGTGCATTCCTTGTATCTAAATAAAAGATACTCTGTTCTAGGTTTCACAGTTCAAAGAGCAATAAAACCTTTAGAGAAAAATAAAACATTCCTCTTACCAATCATTAAGTTGGAGGTACAGATGCAGTGGCACATTCTGTAAACAAAGAAATAAGAGCAGGGATGTGAATGAGTGGGAAAAAGAAAAGCTTTGAAATCCAAATTTGCAGTGTCTCCTGGAATATCCCACCACTAACACCCTGCATACTTTTAAAAAAAAACTGTAGCAAGAATAAAGTGGAAAGCAACACCAAGCATATTGTATAGAGAAGTAAAAGAGGAAGGAGGGGTCAAAGTGGTTAGATGAACAGGCTGTGAAACAGGATTTCTTCCTCACTGTGAACATACCTCCATGAACCATCCTAACCCAGCAGCAGTATCACATTGCCACCCTCTGCACCCAAATACATTGGTTGCATTCACTGCCACACAGTAAAACTTACACTGAAACATCCCTGAGGATGAAGAAAAGCAGCCAGATAAAGACAGTGATAGAAGTGATAAAAGAGGAAATACAAGTCATCTCATCCTTTCAAAAAGCTAGAGGTAAAAGATAGTCCAAAAAGAGAGGTGGGGAATCACTAATGGCAAAACATTCATTCTTCCTTCTTGTTACAGGAAAGGCTGCTGAAAATTCAGGGAAATTCTTCTCCTCCTATTTTTGCTTCTCTTTTGCTGCACAGTCTGGAAAAGGATGTCTGGCTATTGTTAACAGATTCATTTGGCCACATGGCAGCATTACTGCTGCTTTTAAAGCAACTTAGAGTTGTATCTCTGCACCAGTTACCATAATGACTATACACTTAGAAGAACATGGCAGCATTGTTTTCTGAGGGCATGATTCAATGCATCTAACTTTAGGCATCTAAAATTTAGGTATATAAACTGTAGTAGCCACCGAGGCTTGATAAAGAGCAGTAGGGCATCCCAAAAGCTTACTAAGGGTATCAAAAATTCTCCTTTAACTGTAAAAGTACAGCAGAGATTGGTCTGAAATACATTTCAAACTGGCCAGGATGAATTCCCAATTATTGATTTTATAGACAAAAAAATCATATTTCTTTGAGAAAACTAACTTTTTTCATAGAAAATCTGTATTTGCCCAAAATTCTCACTCAGATTTACTAAATTTTTTTTTCAATATTATGATGTTAAATACTGAGGGTTATTCTATTCTTCTCTCCAAAAGATCATATAAATTTTGAAACACTTACATGTCTTACAGGGAGAGTTACTTTCACTCTATGTCCAACAGGGAGATATTTCAGTGGTACTGTTAAGGTGTCACTTAAATTGCTGTTGTCATCTTCCTTATCAGAAACTTTCTATACAAAACAAAAAACATGGGTTGTATTTACAGAAAACAAACAATCCAGTTCTTTGCTATTTTGGTGACACTGTAAATAAGCATGCAGTATGAACAGTAGTAGCATATAATGCCCATTACCTGCAGCCTGACTTTTAGAATTGGCTCCCAAGCCTTCAAGCAATGGAAGTAGAAAGTATCTGTGTCCTCTGCAGTCTTCTGTGTTCCCTCATGAGAGGCAGGCACGCTAAGCACAAGATTTTTACCCTCTAGCGAAAACAAGTTTAATTAGAGAATAATACTGCTGTTCAGGTAAAATAGCTAACAAAGCTGACAAACTTTCTGCTGGAGTAATTTTCTGTGGTAGCTTCTCTGTAAGCTGCCACACTGGCAAGTCTCCTACAGCACAGGAACTGGTACTCCTGCCTTTACCCTATAGCTTGGAGTGCTCTCAGATCCAGCACCCTCTCACACTTCCACCAGCAAAGTTTACTGTATCCAAACTTGACAACTTCAAGAAAAAGACACAGAGATCAGCATTACAACTGAAGGTACTTCAGGGACTTTCACTGCATTACATTTTATTATTTAGAACATATATCATTATATATTTATATATTTATATATTTTTATATATATATATATATATGATTCAGAACATTCTTAGTTGTCTCTGGATCTGAATGACTAATGATAGGGTTGATCTGGTCATGTCCTCAGCTCACAGAGAAATCACCATACCTTTCAAATATTTCCTGCTTTCATTAATGTCCACTTGCACTTCCAAGCAGCAAACTTCACGGGACTGTAACAGACAGGAGTAGAAAAGGGTGAAGATAGCAAATGCCACATCTGCAGCAAATAATGAAGCATCATGCGGAAAAACACTACCTATAATATAAAGCAAACAGAACTGGTCGCAGTGCTGGGAGCAATCAAGTTGCACAAGAGTAAATTCAGAGCTCATTATCCCAGTACAGTAGCCCAGTTGTACTGTTTCAGACTGTCCATACAGTGGTGTTTTGTCAGAGATGGTTAACCCATTCAAGTTATCCCAAAATCAGGAAACTCTGTACAACACACCGTTGCCCAAACAGCTACATATATATATAATAATTATTAGGAAGGGTGGAGGAAAACATCTGATGATGAGTTTCTGTGTATTGTGGCAGTGATTAATCTACATGGCATCTTCTTACTGGCCCTGATGTAGGGAAATCATGGATTTATTTCACCCTACTCTCCACCTGAGTCAATCCAGTTCACCTTTAATAACTCATGCCAGGGCAGTTTTTCAAGTCATCTCAGGAACAATGCATGCCAATCATTACAGCTCTTATGCCTCACACAGAAAATGAGAGGGAAACAACAGAATACGTGTTACTTTACCTCAGGGGTACTAAGGGCTAGCATCTGGAAACCATGAGCAGGCTTGGAGTGGTTGGCATGAAGTACTTTGTACTCCTTAGCTGCAGGGCCAGCCCAAGGAGATAGGTAATGTACCACATGCTGACTAATACTGAAACAGAGCTCTATGTTTCAACAACTAAAATAACTCTTCATTAAAAAACTCATTTCCCAAAAAGGTGTTATATTACATATCCTTCCAGTCATAAGCACACTGAATACTTACAACTGTCTTCTACAAACTCATCCCTTTTAGAACCTTTATTTTTCCTGCCAAGTGCCATCCTGTATTACGTGAAAAGCAAGCTGTTTTCACTTTAAACACCAACAAATATAGGGTTCTGTGACATTAACAAACAACAGCTTCACAACATATTGACATCTGTAATATCTGAGGACTTCAAGAAACACGGCTTCTGGTTTTGCATGGAGAGGGCAACAGTTAAGCCGTAACAAACGGGAACTGTCCCACATCTTTCACTTTATAATGCACACCGTGCTCTTCTCTATCATGGTAGTTTCTGTTCTCTCTATAAAATTACAGATATATTCCAAGGAGAATACATCAGAATGATGGAGAAGAAGAATACAGGGAAGAGGAGAGAATCAAAATGAAGGAGAAGTCACTCCAAGATAAATACATATGTGAACCTTACCACTAGGACATCATTGGTAATGAGGCGCTCTGGAGGGCCAGGGCTGAAAAGACATAATCAAATTACAATAACAAACATATGAAAGCCATTTGAGTATCTGGGTTGCTGTTTTTTCTTTTAAAATAGCATTGCTATGACCTTTCCTACTTAAAACTGCATATAGTTATTTTAGCACAATTTGTTTTCTAAAAGGCAAAATACACAATCACCTGTTAAGCATGTGAACCAAAATACAGTAGCCAAACAAGAAGAAGGACAGGAAAGCCCATAAAAGTAACACTGCTTAAAACTATATACTAAGATACAGTAGAACAAAGACATACTGATCTGGGTGGGATCGTGTCCTGCTATTAACAAATGACCATATGACTTGGGGAAAGCAAAGACTACTATTAGTCTGTTCTGAAAATACTTATTAGAAAAGACATTTCTGACTGTTCCAGATTATAATTTATGGCTGATCACAAATGAATGGCAAACAAGAATTAGCTCCCACTGTGCTATATGTATGACTGCAAAACACAGAGGTAAGCAATAAAAATCTTTGTCCCAGACATTTACCTTGTAAGACCTAGGTCTGTCACTGAATGGATGTGGTTATTTAATAATATGAGTAACCTACAGAGTCTAAGAACAGCATCTTTCATTAAGGCCAATATTCCAACACTCCTATGTTACATACATTCATAAGTGTTTTCATATATCTGAAAGGACCATTAAAGTTATGCAGCATGCAATCTTTGACTTTGTGTAAAGTCCAGGGTATATTACCAAACACCATTTTCAGCCTTAAAAATTCTATTTTGGCTGTAAAATGTCTTTAAATGTAAATAGCTAGGTTTGACTTCCAAGAATGGAGAATCCCCCACATGCCTTATAACTTGAATGGTGAAAGGTGTTCATCTTATTTCTAGTCTAGTTCCCAAGCACTGTGTCTCACTCTAAACTTATATATGTAGTTGTGACTGTTTCCACATTTGCAGGAGATTATTACAACTCTCTTAAGGTATCTCTCATAGATAAATACATTTTTCCTGAGTTTCACTGTGGGAGAAATTAACCAAGAACACCAGTGATTTTCATAGAATCAATGAATACGCTGAGTTGGAAGGGACTCACAAGGATCACTGAGTCCAACCCTTAGCCTTGCACAGGACCATCTCCAAGAGTCATACCATGTGTCCAGGAGTATCATCCAAACACTTCTTGAACTTTGGCAACCTTAGTGCTGTGACCACTTCCCTGGTGAGCCTGTTCCAGCGCCCAACCACCCTCTGGGTGAAGAACCTTTCTCTAATATCCAACCCAAACCTCCTCTGACATAACTTCTGGCCATTCCCTCGGGTTCTGTCACTGGCCACCACAGAGAAGAGATCAGTGCCTGCCCCCACTCTTCCCCTCACAAGGAAGTTGTAGACTGCAATGAGGTCTCCCTTCAGTCTCCTCCAGGATGAACAGACCAAGTGACCTCAGCTGCTCCTCAGCTGCTCCTCAGGTTACCCCTCAAGGCCCTTCACCATCTTTGTTGCCTCCCTTCGGACACTCTCTAAGAGCTTTGTATCCTTCTTACATTGTGGCACCCAAAACTGTACATAATATTCAAGGTGAGGCCGCACCAGTGCAGAGCAGAGTGGGACAATCCCCTCCCTCGACTGGCTGGCGATGCTTTGCCTGATGCCCCCCAGGACATGGTTGTCCCTCCTGGCTGCCAGGGCACTGCTGACTCCTATCCAACTTGCCTTTGACCAAGACCCCCAGGTCCCTTTCCATGGCACTGCTTTCCAGCATCTCATTACCCAGTTTGTACAAACATCTGGAGTTGCCCCATTGCAGGTGCAGAATCCAGCACTTCTCTTTCATATGGTTGATCAAGTTGTTGAGGTCTCTCTGCAGGGCCTCCCTGCCTTGGAGGAAGTCAGCAGCTCCTCCCAGTTTTGTATCATATGCAAACTTGCTTAGTATCCCTTCCAGTCCTGTGTCCAAGTCATTTATGAAGATCTTGAAGAGCAGGGGGCTCAAGATGGAGTCCCACAGAACTCCAGTAGTGACAGGTCACCAGTCTGATGTCACCCCATTCACTATTACCCTCTGTGCTCGACCTGTGAGCCAATTGCTCACCCATTGCATGATGTGTTTATATCCAGCTGCGGGCTGGACATTTTGTCCAGAAGGATCCTGTGAGAGACAGCATCAAAAGCCTTCTGAAATCCAAAAAGGTTACATCCACTGGCTTCCCTTGATCAACTAGGTGGGTTACCTTGTCATAAAAGGAAACAAGGTTTGATAAGCAGGACTTTCCTCTCATGAAGCTGTGCTGGCTCTGATCAATGACAGTGTTGTCTTTCAGGTGTTTTTCAATACTTCACAGAATAATCTTCTCCATAACTTTACCAGGCACTGAAGTGAGACTGACAGGCTTGTAGTTTCCAGGTTGCTCCTTCTTGCCCTTCTTGAAAACCAGAACAACATTCACCAGCTTACAGTCATCTGGGACTTCTCTGGATTCCCAAGACAGCTCAAAAATCATCAAGAGAGGTTTTGCAATGACATCAGGCTCTTTGAGGATTCTGAGATGAATCCCATCAGGCCACATAGATTTGTAAGGATCCAGCTGGAGCAGCAGGTCCCACACAATTTCAAGGTCAACTGGGAGCTGATCATTCTCACAGTCAAGGTCCTACAGCTCAGGGCACTGGGATCTCCTTGGTCCGTCATTCATGTTGAAAACAGAGGCAAAGAAAGCATTAAACACCTCTGCCATGTCTCTGCCCCTGTTTGTGAGGTGACCATCCTCATTCTGTAACAGGCAGATGATATTTCTATACTGCCTATTGTCATTAACATATTTGAAAAAACGTTTTATTGTCCCTCACAGTTCTGACCACCTTCAACTTCAGTAGAGCTTTGGTCACACAAATTTTTTCCCTACAGTGGCAAGAAGCATCTCTGAATTCTTCCACATCACTTGTCCTTGCTTCCCCTGGACATACATCTTACTTTTTTGATTATTTCAAAGAGAGAAGATTCCTGTTCAGCAGGCCTTCTGCCTTGCCTGCTTGATTTCTGACACTTGCGAATTGCTGCTCCTGTGCCCCTAAGAGGTGGTGTTTGAAAAGTGACCAGCACTGACAGACCCCAGCACCTGCAAAAACCTTTCCCCAGAGGACCTTATTTACTAACTCCCTGAGCAGCCCAAAGTCTGCTCTCCTCATGACCCGAGCTGAAGTTTTGCTGGCACTTTTCCTCCTGTCAACAGAGATTTTAAACTCAATTGCTTTGTGGTCACTGTGGCCAAGACGGCCACCAATCTCCACTTCCCTCACGAGATCCAGTCTGTTGACAAGCAGCAGATCAAGGACAGCATCTTTCCGAGTCAGCCCCCTTAGGACCTGTTCCATGAAGTTTCATCCAGGTATTTCAGAAATCTTCTGGCCAGTGTTGTACCAGCTGTGTGATGCTCCCAGTTGATTTCTGGCAAGTTGAAGTCCCCCATAAGGACAAGGGTAGTTGACTTGGAAGTGTCCCTGAGTTCCTCAAAGAAGAATTCGTCAGTGTCACCGTCCTGGCTGGGAGGTCTGTAGCAGAGTCCCATAATGGTTTGCCCCTTGATTCTTATCCAGAGGCTCTCAACTGTGTCATGGCCAACTATGAGCTCCATATGTTCTAACCCTTATATTACATACAGTGCTACCCCTCCACCTCTTCTGCCATGCCTATCCCTCCTGAAGAGCCTGTAACTGTGCAATAGGGCACTCCTGCCACAGGTCTCATCCCATCAGGTTTCACTTATGCCAATGATGTCAAATCTCTGGGACTGGGCCAAAGCTTTGAACACCTCTTGTTTGTTCCTCATGCTGCGTGCATTGCTGTGGAAACAATTCAGGTGTGGTACATTATAGTCAACACCTCCTGAGGCAGACTGAGGGACCCTAGTAGGGTTTTCTCAAGTTTTGGGACACTATCCCATCGCTCATCACTGGTGAGCCTGGTTTTGTCCCTTTCCCCTTACCAAGCTGGTTTAAAGCTCTGTCAACAAAGCCTGCTAGCTCCTGCACTAAAACTCTTTTTCCCCTCTGAGATAGGTGCATCCCATCAGGTTTCAGCAGACCAGGTATTGAATAGATCATCCCATGGTCGAAAAACCCAGAAGTTTTCCAATTACACCAACCTTGGACCTATTCACTGACCTGACAGATCTGCCTATTCTTATCAATATTATTCCCTGTTACTGGAAGGATCGAGGAAATTACTACCTGTGCTCCTGATCCCTCTACCAATTGTCCCAGGGCCCTGAAATCTCTTTTGATTGCCCTAGGACTTCTCTTTATTATTTCCTCATTGCCAGTTTGAACAACCAATATCATATAGTAATCAGAGGGCCTTACTAGACTGGACAGTTTTCTAGTAATGTGCCTTATCCGAACGCCCAGGAGACAGCAGACTTCCCTGTGAGTCGGGTCCGATCTGAATACTGGGCCCTCTGTTCCCCTTAAAAGGGAGTCTCATATTACAACTACTCTTCTTTTCCCATTAACAGAGGAGGTCTTGATGCCTGTTACAGGTCGTGTTGGTTTAGGAGGCCCCACTACCCCAAAAGAACCTCATCAGTTGTCTGGTGTCCTAGTTCCAGAGCCTTATATCTGTTATAGAAGGTACCCGTCCTACCCGTCAAATTTTGAGAAGAAGGAGGAACTTTCCTCCTTTCTTCATGTTTAAGAATAAGAAGCCTTATTTATAGCTCCTTTTTCTGATCATGCAATCAGCCGGTTTTGACTGGGCTACATTCTCTTCTTTTTGCTAATGCTAAACTCAAATATGCCAGAATGTGCAGTTAAGCAGGTTTTCTTCAACCAAACTTGTGATAGCTTTTAAAAGACAGAGAAAGTTTATCTTACTGGGGCTTGCTCTCCTCCAGACAATGCTGATCACCACTTTGAGAGGGATGGTCTTAATTTTATTACTTGTTGATTGTATTTTTTTCAGTTTGACTAAGCTATCACCTAACGGGTAACTTTTCTAATACTGTCTACAAAGCTCTATGTATAATCATACAAGACAAGTTTTATGGTCTTTGAGAAACTCCACAGTGTTCTACGCATTGTTCAATTAATATTAACAATTTGAAGAACATCTATGTTACGTTTTGCACACATCTTGTGTAAAAGTTACCACATTGTGCCCATTTTATACCATTTCTAGGATCTGGATGTACATGTTGAACAGAAGTTTAAGATTTGTATTAAATACCCTGAAAGGTGGAATTAGCTAGAGAAGTTAAGTTAAAAAAAAAAGTTTGAAACTGTAATATAGGTTCACTGCTGGGATGAAGAGCTGGAAGAAGTTTCTCTTTCTCTGAGATATTATTACTCCCTGGCAGATCATTACCTTCTAGCTTTGGAATTCTACTCACATTCTTTCCATCCAGAATTCCACTTCCAAACTTTCCCATTTCCTAGTGCACCTCTCGGTCTGAAAAGAAAACAGTAAAATAAGTATACATTATTGGAGGCTGTAAGAATTTGGCAGCATAGACACACCTAAAAAGCACTTCTATGGCTGATATCTCTCCTGCTTATGACACCAAAAAAGCTCTGCGTTATGTCTTTCCAAAGCTGAGATTGCAATGGAAACCACAGACTTGTGAATGGCATGTAAGATTAATACTCTCCCATTGTGTGATATGTAGAACAATACACGTTTCCAAAGATACCATCGGAGAGGGAAAGCTTGACTGAACAGGAAATATAATGGTTTTCTGCAAGACAATGTGCATGGAAGAAAGGCATTGAAGCCCAGCAACAAGTCAGACTAAGGCCAGAGACATTTCCATACACAAACCATTTAAATCACATTTACACTGAATCCAGAAGAGATGAATTAGACAAGTGACTGAGGAGGTTATTGAATCATTGCATTTCCCAGTGACTCGCCCACTGGCTGAGAAGTGCGTGGCACCAGCTGGCAGGGTCACAAGGAAAATCCATGTTACCAACTTTCAGCATTTGGGAAGTAGCTGTTCTTATGGACCGTCTCCTTCCTGCAATGAGCGTGTAGCAATACCTCAGCTACAGCTCAGACAAGCCCAAGAGTTGTCACAGACCTATCCCACCTTTGTTTCCTGGACAACTCTCTTTCATGGGCTCCTTTATAAAATACCAAAGATGTTAGCAGAACAGACATTCCTTTACTATGTGCTAGAGAAATCTGAATCACCTAGAAGGAAACACAGCATGAACACCAACAGGAGAAGCCTGAAAGCATCATTTAATTCAAGTGATGAGTGAATTGTCTTCATACTTTTAATAAATAAGTTGCCGTTTAAGAGGAAATGTCCTCTAAGTGTGGCAAAAGTGGAATAAAGCTGAAAGGTAAGGAAGTTATTTATTTGGATTATAAAAGATAAAAATTATTATTTACAGGTTATTCTTGATAAAAGAATATATTTTGCCGCCACAGAGCATGAGAGAGAAGCTGCTTCATTTTCTGAATTTGTAAAAAGAGATTATTGAAGTCACAAAAATCCAGCAAAATTATATCTGTTTTGATGAGGTATCAGTAATGATATATAAGGCTGTCTGTTTATGAAGATCCAAACTCAAAATGGAAGCCAACGTGGACAATATAGTCTTGTCAATCACTCGCTGTATTTTCATCTCTTACCTCTGATTTCAAGGCAAATGTCTCGCGGATTGTCTCCCCAGGTCTGACTCTAGCAACATTAAAAAGAACTGTGAACTGCACGTCATCTTTGGTGAGAGGATCTTCATCGCACACTGCCAATTCTAAAATGTTCTAGTAGTAGAAAAAATAAATAAGAACACTTATGGAGCTTCTGTTAAGCATAAACAAAAAAATGGTTTAAATTTTTGCAGTTGTTTCAATAGCACACTGGTAAAAATAAAGAAACATGTGCTTTCCTTCAGGAGTTTGCTAATGTGGAACATTATTAAACCTAATACTGGGAAACCTATGAAACAGAAACCAACTACCTGTAAGAGAGAGCTTCCACTCTCCCACGACAGAAAAGATGTCAGTGCTCTGCACCAAACTGATAACCCACCCAAAGAACACACTTATTTTCTTCATCCCCCAAGTTCTCTCAATTACACAGTTTAGAATAGGATTAAATTCGTTGTCTACAACACAGCAACTTCTCTAGTCTTCGCTTAGAACCAGTGGAGAGAGAGCTCTTTCTAAATTAGCCATTCAAAACAGCACAGAAGAAGCTGCTACAACAGTGGTTATTTCACTCAGGTGACAACAAAGGGAATCTGGACTAGCTTAGATATAGGCATTTACATCACCAATGTCTGTAACTAGCTGAGGGGAACACTACTGCTTATGTCTACTGTTCTGTGCAAACCACACTGATACACAAGCATTTTCTTAAGTTATTTAGCACAGTTGATCAACAGGGTGTCAATTGAGGACTCCCAGATATTCAAAATGGTGACATTTCTATTTTTTTACTACCTCAACTTCTCTCTGGATCCTAAAGTAGAAAGTCTCATTCCAGACAGGGTTGTCAGAATTCTTGATGGTTTTGGTCTGAAGCTTTCCCTTTGAAGCAGATGGCAGCCACAAGCGCACATAGCAGTCTGATGCAGTCACTGCAGCAGAGAAAAATTAAAAACCTAATGCCAATGTTATAGATTAAAAGTAGGGCTAGGCCATAATCCTAGGGAATTAATAAACATTATTACTTATTCGTTTTGGTTTTTTAGTTAGTTAAGAGATCGTCAGCTGGAAACAACCAAGGAAAACCATCTAATTCCTGATTAACTACAAACTGCAAATGTGTACACATGCACACACAAAGTACACTAAAAGCCATGTTTCCCATGTGAAGAGAAAGAGGTATAAAAGACTCCACTGACCATTCAGTGAGCACAGTCCCTACAATTCAAGTCAATGATGTTAAAAAAGTTTAACTGAAACTACAGCTAGTTCCAAAAAGGGCTGTTAGGATGATTACAGGAAAAGAGAATGCATATTACAGAAAAGATCAGAAGAGACTGGCTCGCTCAGTCTAGTAACACAAACATGCAGAGGGACATAATGGCTGTCTAGAAGGGTTAGGTACTAGGGTAGATGATCTGTTGCAGCTAAAAGCTGGTGTGGGCCCAAGAACAGGAGAGCATGAGCAAGTCAGAAATCTTCATGTCACTTCCGGCCTACATCTAGTCCTTATGGTTAGTGCAGTCAGTGCCTCGAGCGGCCATCCTTTGGGGAGAGCCAGGGTGGGAAAGCACATTTACTTTGTGAAGCTTGACAACGGTGTGAAAGGAAATCTCCAGGGTGATGTCTTTCAGAGCTGGAGTCTGGACTTGACTGAAGATGTCTACTGCAGCCCGAGATGCCTAAATACTTCAGACTGGTATCAAGCAGTGAATAACATTGCCCCGCAAGGTTTTGGCAGGAAAGTGGACCTGTCCCTTCAATAAAGTAGATATAAGAGATCATTGAAACTCAGAAATACAGGTCTTGTCACTCTAACCCCTTTCTAGTGTCCCCCTCTGGACAGTGCTACATGGCATTTGCCACCGGAGTACAGGAAGCCCTGTGGCTGGAAGTTACTCCACCAACAAGGTCTGGTCTCCCTCGCATCCAGGTTCAGCCCTGAATGGCAAGACACAAACGGTCTCTGCTGTAACTCAAGAAAATGGTTGCAAAGTGATGCTTTTTTTGGCTGAATGAGTGATTTTTCACTACAGGAATACAGAGGTCAGAAGTTTCAAGTGCGACAAAAGGCAGCTCACGGTCTCTGCCCTAACTGAGGAACCCATGGGAGACCACTGCAAAAATGGCAGCTGAATGGTCCACAGCACACCTTGAGAAGGAGCCATAGGAGGCTGTGAGGGTGAGATAATGAGTTAAAGACAGTTGAACACAAATGTACACAGAAAAGTCTGTTTTGCCCTCATGTTCAGCATGTGCTTAGGACTGGATCCACAGAGGTCCTCCTTAACCAAAGCTACCAGTATAATTTAATGTGACTGGTCATTGGAGAACAGGAAATACCCTGAAAGATAAGGTATTTTAGAAGGCTTGAAATTCTCTAATTTACCTTTGATTATTGAATATGATTGTACAGGATTTCATTAAAAGGTACCTAAATATGTGGCCTGTGTGGCAAAATTCCTGTCCATTATATGATTTTTACCAATTAGAAACATCAAAACCAAAACATTCCAAGCAGATTTATAGACTGCAGTGTTCTCACAAAGTCTATTTTCCTGTGGTGGCCCAAAAAATTCAACCGTGTGTCTTGATTTTTACCAGTTCCCTGAAATGCCACTAGAGATGTATTCAAATCTAAGGATACCTCAGGCATTTGATCTAATTATAGCCCTGGCATTAATATTTCTATTGCTGTGCTTTATGTACATTGCTTGCATACCTTCAGAACTTAAGAATATTGCTCACTGTGTCACTTAGGTGACTAAAAACACAATCAAACCACAACTCACACAGGTCTTTTGACTTGATGTTCTTAGCTTGTATGATTCTTACAGAAAGCATGTGGAGGGGGCAAAGCTTCATCTGCAAAGAAAATAAATACAATTTGTTCAGAATACAAAACCAAGATGTACTTTTAACAGTACAGGGCACAGTCTGTCATCCCGCTTGTCTGTTTGAAGTGAGGTACCCACCCTCCAGTTGAAGTACACCAGACGGTAACACAACTGCACAACGTGCAGCTACTTGCTAAGTAGCTTGAGTAAATGAAGACAGAGAGAAAACACAGACTCAGACAATGGCATGGAAAGCTCTCATAGTCACCCTAGAGGTGCCTGTTTTCATGCAGTTTGCTGCATGCACAGCCACAGTGATGGTTGCACTGCAAATCCACCAAGGGTCCCGTGCCACAAGGAGGTCATAACGGGGCCCGTGGAAGGGGATATTAGGAACTTGCAGCTGCCTGCCCAGGTCATGGAACAGCACTGACAGTAGGTCAGGACATGGTACTTACCAAAGTGCTCTATAAACTCCTGACTTTGTATCCCAACTAGGACTAAGTTACCATGACACTTGTAAGTAGGCTAAGCTCACCAAAACATCCTGATGACTTTAAGTGAACAGTGCACAGGCCCAGCACAGACCCTTCAGATGAAGAAAAAAGTGCCCTGCTTTGCAGGAATGGTATCACAGAATCCTGTATCATTATGTATCCTGAAAATACCTAATGGGAATGGAACCACTTCCCTTCCAGACATGAGATTTATTTCTATCACAGGCAAGCTATCATTGTAATACTTATTTCAAGTTACTTGTTCCTTACTCTTAACAAAAAATTAAGCTTTTCAGCCTAAGCTGGTCAGAAAATACTTAATATTTTCAAAACACATTCTCATAAGTGTGAATGAACACACATATGAACCATGACAATCTTAATAATTGAGAGAAATATTTAACTCTTTTTTCAAATTGGTACATATAAAAGTTTTTTTTAATTTTCTGCTCTTTTATCTTTTTTTTGTTTGTTTGCATATTAGAGTGGCTCTTCAGCAATAATAAGCAATAATAACATGTAGTCCCACTATCATTAATAAATTAAAACTTAAAGCTTAAATACACACTGACTGAAACATTGTCTCAATTTGTCTAAATGAGAGAATCCCGGTACAATGTAACTAAATAATTTCACAATTTTATTTTGAAAGTTAGCACCATGATTAATTTTCCTGACACTGAAATGATTAACTTTGGAGAGATAAACTGTTGGGGAAGGAGGAGCTTCTCTACAGAAGGAATCACTCACTTACTTTCAGCTAATTTGAAATTCTTTTAAAATGGGGTGGATGCTGCTGACTTGTTTATTAGAGATTAAAATAACCTGCATTCAGTTTAATTCAGGCTTATTTTGAGGTAAATTATGTTACCTCAAATGGACAGCAACTGAGATGTAAATTAGCATGTTGAAAAGAAGGCTTGATATTAAATTTTATTATGTCTGTTTTAAAGTTATATACTTTTAAAATTCAGATTAATATTCAAGAGTCACCCTGAGCAGAGAAACCCTGTTGTTAAACCTACAAAATCACATGACCCTGTCTCTTGGTCTTTTAATGGTTGATTGAAACACTGCTTGTATAAAAATGCAAGACAAATTTGTTCTTGTGTGGCAAGAATCAGTTCTAATATGTGTTACTCCAAATTTAAAATTGATATTTTTAAAACTTTCTGAGTTTACTGCATTGTGGACATTACAGGTTCCAGCTGAGACACTTCCATATTGTTCCAGTTGCCCACTGAAAGAATTTGACTATAATTTTCCTGTGCAAATAGCTATTTGACATAGGACTACCAAATAGGAAACTCACTCAACATTCCTTGTGGTTTTTATTTACATAAATTATTGGATTATGCAGACAAGTACAGAGGTGACTGGTTTTATTAATATGTTATTTTGTTAATGTTATGTTATTTTGTAATCAACTTCCTCCTTGCTCAACAGAAGCCCAAACCATTCTCAGAGTCTGCCTTCACTGAAGAAATGGATGTTGATATAAAATTTGCTTTGAACCGTTTGTGATGAAAAAATGGCTTATAAAAATGGTGCATCTGCAGTTCATCATCAGAGTACTCTCAGTTGTAATAGATGCTGTGTTTTCATCCTTTCCCACTAGAGCCAGAGACCCTCCCTTCCCCTTTCAACAGCAATCACTTTGCTTAAACATGTCAACATCTGCCCACCAATGGAAATACAACCAAAGATGACTGTTCACTACGTCCGATTCAGTGCATCTTAGCCCTGACATTGTTGCAGGGTAAAAGGCAAACATGTTCTGATGGGGAAATGTGGCCATAACAAACCCTATGGGCTGTGTAAATCCCATGGGGAAGCCAGAAACCACCCCTCTCCCAAGACTGCAGTTACTTCAGCCTGTGATAACCATTCAGAAGTGGGCTAATTCGTTTCTTTATCAGATAAAGGCAGCTAATTTTCTTCAACAATAGTCCAGAGCAGAATATTAGGGTCTGATTTGGATGGTCTAAAAATAATGTCTTTGCCCAAAAGTGCTGGTACTCCAGAATACCCTTCTAGAAAAAAATAATTATGGTTAGAGATAAGATTTACTATTTTCATAACATGAAAAGCAACATGTAACTTCTCAATTAATGCAACTTGAAGACACCACATCCAGATAGCTCTCGACAGTTTTGCAGCTGTACTGGTCTTGTTATTTTAAGTTCACTTCCTTGGGAGAAATATGGTTTCTTGCATAGGCATGCAGACAGTAACAAAATCCCTCTGTAAACATCCAGAGTCAAAGGTGCACAAGTCCCACAAGTGTATCATTCTACTTTTGCTGGAAAAGTAGTAGTGCCACATTGAGCCCAACAACAGAGTGCAGGATTCAGCTACCTGTGTATGTTTGCATTCTAAACAATAACATTCCAGACCAACAAATAGTAGCATCTCCAGAGTACCAAAGAAAGGGTAGGCTAAAAATTGGAGGGAAAAAAAAACAAAACAAAGGAAAAAAAAAAAAACAAAAAAAACCCCAAACTTCTTTTCATTCTAAAGTATTTACCATTGAACAATATTTCTGTACTCTCAAAGCAAGTTTTTGAGAGAGTCATTTCTGTTCAAAATACAGAAAAGTCAACAATCAGGAGATAAAACTAGCATGTCAGAATTGCCACAGCTGTGTCAAACCTTAACAAACTGAAAATTCACATCTGTTGCCAACATCTCTCTGATTGCAATAATACATATTCGCTGGCTTCCAGAGAATAGTCATATGAATGTTGGTCAGCTTCAGGAGGATACATAATTCCCCTGTTTATAGGTGGTTAATCACTTAAGGTTTCATTCCAAAAAGACAACTTTGAGAGTATTAAATCTTCTCAAAGCTCATAAATATTGAGGAGCCTACCAAGACAGTCTTTGGATGGCAGTAAAAGGACAAAAACCTACCAGGAGCTCATATGTTCGATTTCAGTCCTTATTGCCCCTCCATGCTGCTCCTAGAACAACATCTCATGGCTACCTTCACTAGAAAGTTAGTCTTCTAGGGAAGTTTCTGCAATCTGGGAACCTCCTCCCATACCTACATCTTCTTTCTTTCTTTCTTTCTTTTTTTTTTAAGTCTTTGGTTTGTAAATGTAGGAAGGTTGATTGGAATGTCAGTGTTTCACTCCCCCTACACCAAATCTAAGCAGTTTGTTGAGCAGAGTTATCACGATGGGATAACACCAAGTTATATTAAGTTTAGTATGAGGAGTTTGCTACCTTCTGACATTCTGTAAATAGTTGTAGAATTCCTTGCTCAGCTTTATCAATATCTTTCAGACATGAGTAATTACTTCTTTTCATGGATTACTTCTTTCTTCAGTGGTGCACTAGAAGCTGTACAATATCTTGTCTACTAAATCTCACGCCAAACCATTTATTTTATCTTAGATACTGAGGATTTGATTCAACTACAGCTTGGAGATTTATCATACTAAAGTTAAATCCATAAATTTACAAACTATAAAAAAGCTTCATGATCAGCCTGGTTCCAAAGCACTCTTGTCCACATAGATCCTCTAATGTCTAGTATGGGCTGAGCTTATTAGCCCCTCCATCAGTGAGAATACTGATAGGAATTTGTCCTTCCAACCAGCTGCCTATTTTCATTAAAATTGAAGGGATGAAAAGTTCTGATGGGAAAAGCAACAGACTGAAGAAATATGCAAAGCTATGAGAGGGGATAGAAGGAGAGAGCATGACCACAGAAGTCTCATTTCTCTTGGGAATCACAATTATCCAAAATCTTTTCACTGGAAGTTGAACAGTTAAGTGAGGAAATCTAATTCACCTTACACACATTTACTATAACTTCATGTTAGCATTGATGGATTGCTTCTAGAGTCATTGTGGATTTTGGGTGTATCTCCTGTTCATATTCTATCACTCACCTCTTTACATGTATCAGTGGGTCCCTTGGGGCTTTCTTTTGATAAAATTTCTGAGTATTTTACTAGGTAAAAATTATTCCATAGTCCACAAAATAAAACTGCTAAAGAGTGATTATTCTTGTTTGAGTAGAAGAAAAGACCTTGTTATGAATATCAAAAGTTGTAAATTAATACTTACCATCACTTCTGTGTCAATTTGGTAGCTTTTTTAAACTACTACTAGACTTTAAGGAGGTCTTCTTAGATAGTTAGGAGTATCCACGTTTCTAAACATGGGGTTTTTTTAATATAAAAGAAAAAAAACAAAAAAAAACAAAACAAAAAAAACACAAAAAAAACCCCAAAACAACAACAAAAAAAAACATAAACAAAAAAAAAAAAAAAAAAAAAAAAAAAAAAAAAACACAAAAAAACCCCCCAAAACAACAACAAAAATAAAAAAAAAAAAAAAAAAAAAAAAAAAAACAAAAAAAAAAAAAACAAAAACAAAAACAAAAAAAAACCAAAACCACTGTTCTTATTTCCATATCTGTTTACCAACTTACACATACTGAAAAACACATTTCCCTGACAGAACACCAGAGCTACCTGAAGTATTGAATTAATCTCTTTCCTTGGGAACAGAAGCTTTA